GCTCGCGGGACTGGGGGTTGCTGAGGGGAGGTGGGAGGGTTACCCTGTCGGCACGAAATGTCTGGCGGTGTTTTGGAGGCGTTTTCAGCGTGTCTGGGCGAATGGGAGAAAGTTAAAAGGAAAGGACTGGTAGTAGGTCTGTGGCCGGATCCTGCGGGCTCTGGGAGCTGAGGAGCTGTTGCTGTGAGCGCAGGAGGCAGGAATGAATGTTTTCGTCTGTTCTGTTTCTCACTATTTCTGCTCCTGGCTGTTCCGATCCCTGTCAGCACAGGCGTGTCGGTTCGTTCGGAGCCTTTGGGTTGGATTCTCTTTCAGTACGATGGCTTGTGGATCAATATCTTGCAGGGGCAACCTGGCACAAATAAATCCTGTTTTCAGCAAAGTAAAACTGCAGTATTTTGATTTTTCTCTGGTAGAACACTTTTTGTTTCACGTATGCAGTTTAGGTTTTGGAGGAGTCCTGATACTCCACTGCTCTTCCTAAAGCAGTATTTATTTCTAGGATGAGTAGTTTAGCTCCAGTGCTTCAGCAATGTACAGTGGCAGTTGTAGCCTTGAAGAGATTGTAATCACAGCTTCATTTTTCGCTGTATATGTATATTTGTCATACATATATACATACATACAGGTAGAAGGCAGAAGTAGAAAACCCTAGGTTCTTGCTTGCCCAGTTATCTCCTGGTTAGCAGGTCTCTATTAGTGCTTCTAGAGAATTTGTTCACCTGAAGCTTTTTGGATTATCATGGCCTTCTTGTAGTTTTAAAAAAAACCTCTTGTGTTAAAAGCCTTTCCTTTCATAAAAAATACTCTGTGCTTTTGAGATGGCCAGGATAGCAAGTTTGCAAAACAATTAGCTTTGCCCTTGGAAAACAGAAATAATTTAGACTGCATTTCACAGAAGAAAGCAGCTTCTCTTTTGCTAGTTAAGTGATTTCATAAATTCCAGCTAGCAGGTGGCAGCTTGCAGAATGGGAAAATGTATTCAGATTATTTTGTTTGGTCTAACAATCAGACAATCAGAAGGGATTATGAAGATGCTTTTTCTACTAATGTTTTTCCCGTCTTGCCTTTTATAAAGGTATTGGTCTGTGCAGCACTCATTTAGGCATTTCAGTGGTTCACAGTGGTGGTTTCAGCTGCCTTCTTCCCATATGTGTCACTAGCTTAAAGAAATTTAGTAATGAAATAAACCAAGTTGCTTTTATTTTATGATAAGCTTGAGATGCTGGAAATTTGCTTTCATCACCTCCTCCTCCCTGTGCTCTCCCCCTGTTTTGGGTTGATAAATATGCAAGTCTTTATTCTTACTTGGCTAGACCAGAGTCTTTGATGCTGATAGGGTAGCAACAATGAAGAAATGTTACAAAAGGTTGCATATAAATATATGAAACTAATTCGTTTTGCTTGCTAGAACTCCTAGGCTGTCTCATGATGGAAGATTCTGTCTCTTTGACTGACAGCATCAGTGCAGATTTTTCCTGGAATCATGTCAGTCCATAGAATATTATGTTATTTGAAAACTTGAAGGGGGTGGGGAAACCCAACCAACCCCCAACCAAACAAAAATAGGCCTTTCATTATATTATAATTAGAAGTATAAATACATTGTATTTTAAATGTTTAGTTTACTGTGTACAACACAGTCGATGCCTTTAACTGTTGGAAGTGGTTATTATTAGTCATGGTTTGGCCATATGTAAGTCATAGAATCATAACTTTTTTGTAGCTCATTTATACTGACCCTCAGCCCAGTGAGGTGATTGGAATGACTCTGTGGAGTCAGTCAGCCTTCAATCAGACTTCAGAAGAGGAAGATAACAGAAAAGCTACCTTTCTTCCCCAGTGAAAGCATTAACTTCTCAGTTTTAAACATCCTTTGCACTTAAATGACACATAATTGTGAACAATTGGAAGTTGTTTACACTTTAAAGGGTAGAACTGAAGAAAATATTACTTCTACATTTATAATGTGGCACTTTATAATTATATGTATTTATTCAGTATATTGTATTTTAATGCTACAGTATTTGCATCCTAATAGTTTGTTGGCAGATACTCCTCCAGTTGAGCTGCTGAACAATGAAAATAAATTGTCAAGTGTTACTTTCTAGTGGTATAAGCAAGTCTGTTTACTCCCCAAGGATTTAATAGAAATAATGGGACACTTGAGAAAAATAAATACGAATTGAAGCTGCTTATATTACATTCTCTGATTAAATTTCCAGGCTCTTTGAATGGATAAGGCAATGTTATCTAGCTTTTTCGGTGGACTTTCAGTCCTGCTTTCAACAGAAATAAAGATAAAATTGAAGAAAATAAAGAACTTTAAAATCTTACTAAAATTTATTTCCTTTTCGTTCTTGTCCTCAGTCTTTGAGGATTTAGCAAAAGGAGGGGTGGCCTGGCAGTTGGCCCCTTCAGCTTCTGTCTGCTTGTGCCAAGTGATGTGAACAGCTCTCTGTGTGTTAACCAGCTTCAAAATACACACTGCATTAAATAATTAACAAGAAAGGACAAGACAAACATACAAAAGACAAGGTGATTTGGAGAGTCAGCATGTTTTTATAAAGGTGCAATCATGCTTGACCAACCCAAAATAGTTCTGTGATGAGATGGCTGCCTGTGTGAATGTGGGCAGAACAGTGGATGTTGTTTATCTCAGTTCTAGCAAGGATTTCAGCACTGTATCCTTTATGAAGTATGGGCTAACTATGTGGACAGAAAACTATTAGATTTTCTGGGCTCATGGACTCTGATCAGTGGTGTGGTGCACTCCAGGGTTGATAATGGCTCCAGAAGTGTTTAGGCTCCTCATTAATGACCTGGACAGTGGGGCAAAGTGCACACTCGTCAAGTTGCAGAGGATATAAAATGGGCAGGAGGGCTTGATGCACCAGCTGGTTGTGCTGCCTTTCAGAGGGACCTAAGCAGGCTGGAGAAATGAACAAATGGGAAACTTAGAAATCCAAGTTCAGTGAAAGGCAATGCCAAGTCCTGCCCCTGGCAGAGTCACGCCATGCAGCAGTGCACATGGTAGGGGCACACACTGTCTGGGAAGCACCTTTGTGGAGAAAGACCTGAGACTCCTTCCCAGTGGGCTACAAACTGACCATGGCCATTGTGGCAAAGATGGTCATCAGCCTTCTGGGCTGCATTAAGAGGTGTGTGTCCAGCAGGTCAAGGAAGGTGACCTCTCTTTTCAGTACTGTTGTGACACACTTGGAGAGCTGTGTCCAGGTCTGGGTTGCTTAGTACAAGAGCGACATGGAAATACTGGAGTGAGCCTAGCAAGGACTGTGAAGATTAGGAATAGACTAGAGCACCTGACATCTGAGAAGAGGTTGAAGGAGCTGGGACTGGAGAAGAGAAGGTTCAGGGAGGATCTTACCAACATGAGTAAATGCCTTATGGGGGTCAGCACAAGAAAGAAAGACTTCTGTGATGCCTAAAAGGACATGAAGTAGTTGGCACAAACTGAAATACAGGAAATTCTATTTAAACATAAGGAATTATTATTGTTTTAGTCTAGGAGTGATTGAACACTGGAAGAGGTTACACGGAGATTTTCTGTAGTCTTTCTCCTAGGAAATACTCAAATCTCACTAGACAAGGTCCTGAGCATCCTGAGGTTGAACTACATGATATTCAGGGGTCCTTTGCAACCTCAACAATTCTATGATTCTGTAACACAAGGATGAAATAGGTTGTTAAAATAGTTCCAGAGCTTTATCTGTGTTGTCAAAGACATAGTATGAAATAGGTGGGTTTTTTTCCCAGATTTATTTGAGTATCATTTGATTTATTTCAAGGATCATGTGCATTAATATTTTATAAATCCTAGAAGCAGCATGGCATGGGTTATTGAATATTATGGTGAGAAAGGCAGTATCTCTTGTCAATCACAGTTGTTTCAGGTCTCATGTGTGCTGTTCCTCAGCTGCATATTAAAAACTGAAGGTCATGAAAATTCTGCTTGCATTCAGTTTTGCAGATAAGCTGAGTGTATGAGGTGATGCTTCTTTGGGTTAATACTATGTGATTTCATTTCCTGGAATAAGTGTGATTCGTTGTAATTAGGATTGTGTCAATTAGAAGATGGGGATCTGGTTTATGTACACGAAGATATTCCGATTCGGAGCTTTAATTGCTGTTATGTTGTAAAAGCAGGAGAGAAGTTATCAGAACATGCTGTCAGAAAGGGATATAATAGGCAGGTGGAGGTATTTGCTGTGTGCTTTTGAACCAGAAGTGCAAAACATTATTTGATGACGACACTGGGGCCCAGTCCTGTTTGTACTGTTTTCTTCTTCCTGGCTAAACGCCTTATTGTAATGTGACTAAGGTCAACATGAGTCTGTTGTGTTAGGCTGATTTTGGGATGTCTGCATCTAGTGGTGTGATTTGTGATTTGAGTCAATCAGGATCTAAGATGTCATTGTGAAACACAGCTCCTAGACACTTGATGAAATCCGTGGTTCCTGTGATAGGAATCTATGAATCTGATGATTGTGAATCTGTGATAGGAATATAGATGATTGGATGAGCACCACAGGGTTTGGACAGTCTTGTCTTTTTACTCTCCTACATTTCAGGTTTCTAGTGTATAAAAGGAATTGACAGGTGGTAGCAATTCTCTTCTAAATCAATTTCAAGCAATAAATAATTAAAACTTGCAGAGCGACAGTCTATTTGAAGCTATTGATTTTTTTTGTTCTGCCTTAGTTTTTAAGAAAACTATCTATTTGATCATGATGAGTAGTAGCATCTTGAGTTCCTTCCAAATCACAGCGATTTACTTTCACTTGCATCTCTTTAGTACCTTTAAGATTCCTTACCAAGTATCTTAGCAAAGCTTTCTTATGTTAAATAAAAGTAATTTTACAAATTAGCAATCTGAGACAAATGAAGTAGGCGAGAACATCAAGAAGCAAAAAAACCCACAGGAACCCTTTTTTAATGATTATTTTTTTAATACAAACCGGAAGTGTATCCATAGGTTGGTGTCAATATGAAAGGTTAAAGGTAATAGTAGGTCTGTGTGAATTCCCTCTTTTTATAAACATTTATCTGGGTTTCCTACATACTAACAAATCTGTTGTTCACAGATGGCATTCAAAGCATTGGACAGCCATCTTCAAGTTTCTGTGGTTCCCAGTTGAGCTTTGGTAATCCTTAAGTAGAGCAGAATGCAGGTTTCCCATGTCATAGCACTTTATGCTCTTGTCAAGTGAACTACTGGACTGAACAGATTTTTTTTTTTTCCTAATGGGATTTATTTTCCTTGAAGCCAAGATAAATTGGCTTCACATCAAAGAGTGATCTCTTCAATGATGTACAAGAATAGAATTGTCAGGCAGCAAATGTATAAATTCTGTAATAATGGACTGTCTTAGGTTCATTAAGATTATTACCAATATAGTATCATTTAATGTGGAACTCTACCTAAATGTTATTTTTTAATTTGTTTTACTGCAGAACTTTATCAGGTGTGAAAATGAGCTCCTCTTATAATATGAAAAAAAGTCTGCTTTTTCTTTCAGCTTTTGCTGTAGGTGTAGCTCCTGGAGCTGCAGAAGATGAGACTGAACTGCCAGTGCTGCAGGTAATAAATTTTAATTGCCAGAACAAGAACATTTTACAGACATTATAAAATCTTCTAGAAGACACCAGGGCAGACAGCTGAACATCTGTGACAGGGATTATTTTGATCATTTCCTTCAGTGGTACTAAATGTCATATGTGACCTTTAATGGAACACAAGTTGCATATAACACTACACTTCTTCTATTACTAGGATCTTAATTTATCTTATGGATTCTTAGAATTACTGGAATAAATTTATATGTAATACTTTTTCTTTCTTGTTCTTGATTTTCTGACTTACATTGACATTTGTTTTAAGAGAATTAGGTTTTTTGCGTTGTTTTTTTTGGTGTAACAATAATTTAGAGAACAATTTACTCTTTTGCACAATCAGCTGAAGAGTACATTAGAAACTTAGAGTAAAGGAAAAACTTTACTATTTTGCATAGCTTCTATGAGTTGATAGTGTTATTGAGATAGTGTTGCTGAGAATAGTTTTTTAGTGTATTACCTTTATTAGTTCAGAGACAAGTTTTGCTTTCTCCTTGGTTTTGTTAACTAGATAATACATTGAGAGGAAAGTGGCTGCCTCTCTGCTAAATTTGTATTGTTGCCCAAGTCATGGCTCAAGTAAAGCTTGGGCATTACATTTCAAATTAACAGATTAGAAGAACTAATGGTTAGAGCTAGCCCAACCATTGAACAGCACAATGGATGTTAGGTGTGGTTGCATGTATGTCCTTTAAAAGTCATCTGCCTTTTTTTTAAAATGTATATATTTGTAACAGATATTTGTGTGCATATAAAAGAGATTTAAGGGAGGAAAATCAAATAGAAGTACTGGAATGAATCAAGCATTAGAATCTCTATGTGCCACTTAGACTCACATAAGATGCAATAGAAGTGTTTTCAGATACGTGTTTCAAATTAATATGTTTTGGTTTTGATGATGATTGCTATATCTACAATAATTTTCATAAATGAAAAATATGCCTTTTGCAAACTGTTGATTTGCTACAATGTATCTGTGAGATTAGGAAATGTCATTCTCTTTTTACTTGTAAATCACTTTTTGTCAAATTCTATTACTGTCCTTGATCCAGCTGATTAACATTAGCATTCTTCTACAGGATCTAATTTTTGAAGGCTTTCCTACTATTTGGAAGTCAGAGGTGCCTTCTAGAACTCTTCAGGCCAAATTCCTTTTTTGTTTCTTCCTATTTTTGTGTTAGCATGAGTGTAATGGACAACAGTTGTTTTGTGTTTTAATAAAGGTTGTTGTAAAATGCAGGTTGTTCATCACACTGTGTATCACAAAGCACACATTTTATGTTTGCATGGAAAATTAATCTTCGCATGTCGGTTATGATATAGGGTAATGTAGAATGTGGTGTATAGATGGTAGAACTGTGTATAGTCATCAAAATAACTTCTACTTACAGGAATTTTTTTAATTTGATGGACTCAGCATAAGGGGTCATGAGCATAGATGCAGTGCCTTAATTCTTAAAAAGGTTTTACAGGTGGCTGGCAAGGAAGTTTGAGCTTGTGAATTTCAGTGTGAGTCAGACCTGAACAGAGAGAGAGACCATCTGATGCAAATAGGACTAAAAGAATTAGATGGATATGATACCAAAAAAAAAAATAAAAAAGAGGGGAAGTGTTTATAAGTAGGAATAAATTCAAAAGGACAGGAAAACTATATGCAGACATTACAGAGAAATTACTTGTATGGCTTTTCCTTCAGAGCACCTCAAAACACCAAGATGAATCTACAACATCCTTATGCAATTAGTAAAGACGATCTTGTCTTTATACGTGAAGAAACGTGAGCACTGAGGTGCTGTTACCAGGGAGAAATAGCACAATAAACGAAGGCTCTGTTTTCCTTCCTGCATTTTTTGTAGGAAGTGGAGAGCTATTTCTCCAGTCCTGTCTTTCCACCTGTCAGCAGTTCTTAAACATCACCTTTCTACCTAGCCTCTGTTATTTAGAAGCAATTGATTATGCTCCTAAGATATTTTTATGTGTGTGTCTTGATTTCCTGGTTAATGATGGAAATGCAGCGTCACTGTTGTCTGTTCCTCAGCACTCTGTTAAAATTCCATTGCAAATGTATATTATACCTGAGTAAATCCCAGGGGAACCAAGTTTTGTGCAGCAAAGTTTTCAAATTTATTTGTCTTTATATTAATTGCTTTTGTGTCTTCCTTTAAGAATGGTGTGTCAATAGCTAGTGGATCCAATGAGTAAGAGTGTGTTGGGGTTTTTTTACTCACTGAGCAGGTGTGTTTGTAGTGTAGAGTTCAGTATGTCAAACTTTGTGCTCAGGAGACACATATTAAAAGAGGAAAAAAAAGACACTGTTGGTATTAACTTAAAGAGCTCTGGTATAAATTGAGTCATGGAAAAGCATTATCTCTTTTTTTTCTTTTTATTCTACTGTATTGTCTAAGTAATAGTATACAAACACATGGAGTATCTGTCTAAATTTTTTATGTTGAAAAACTTTTTACTTTAGTTTTCTTTATTAATTCTTGTGTTAAAACCTCTGTGTATGCATTTACAATCTGATGAATGTTTTGACTCCCTGTGTCTCTTTATAGAAATATTGGAGGTTTTGCCTTTATCTTTATTTTGCTTTTTTTCTTTCTTCTAGAAATCTGAAAAAAGTGGAACAATTAGTAAAATAGGCAGAGGTAGGTACTGTATAGTCTGTATTTGTTTTCACTTGACTGTCTTTTTAATATAAACAAAATACAGTTATGCCTTGAAAAGTGGTGGTTGGAACAGGGCCTAAATGCTCAACAGCAGTGTTAGTTAATTGCCAATCCCAAATAGTTCGTGGGGTTTTTTTTTCCTTTGGTTCCATAGTCTCATGAAACAGAAGTCTCTGATCTTTTTGTATTTGAAGTTCTTGTAGTTGAGTGTTTTTTCTGAAAACTTGCACTATGAAACTGATACATTGCTTTTTGTAGTACATTATATTCTATAATCACACTTTATGATACTTAGTTCTTGTAAAAATTTAACATGAAACTCAATTTTCCTATTTTGCTAAGCTCTCCTGGTATTTGTAATTACTAGGGTACATTGCTTGTAACAACTTGTAATAACTTTGTAGTATCTATCTATCTATCTAAGTATTTAACAAACATGTCAAATGTTAATAAGATACTGAGTGGTAAAATATTTTTTTCTGAACATGTGAGATAAAGGCTTCTGTCTTTCCTGAAAATAAGTCTGATGTCCTTCCAGCAAAAAGTTTACAGACCTGAGATAAGGACTTGCAGTCTCTGCTTCATAACTTTGTGCTGCCTCTGCTATGCTGTAGCAGTTTAATTCTTCAAGCACTTGGGCAGTTTGGACACTTCTAAACCCTGAACACTTGGGTCTTATTGTTCTATAAAGAGCCAGCTTGACCATGTTTCTGTTGCAGCAGTTTCTGAGTAGTTATGACATCAAAGCTGAACACCAGGAAGACTTGGCATGCTTTTATTGGAGTTGCTAACAGAACTGTGAATGGTGCTGAGAAGATCTGGTTTGTGTTTGTTTTTTGCCTTTTTTTTGGACATAGTTGCAAGCTCTGTCCCTAACACAGGTAACTTTTGTTGAAAACAATGAAGTCTCTTGTGCTGGTAATCTCCTATTTTACCATTAAAAGATCAGGACCTGTCTGTAGGAGTATTACTGTTTCCCTGTTCACCGATCCTTATCTGGTGTCAAAGAAAGTCCACTTCCTCTTTGTTTTCTTCTCTTTCTCTGAAATCTCATAGCACAGCCAGGTGCTGACTGCTGCTTTAATCACTCCCAGGAGACCTGTGTTGTGACTTAGCAATGTTGTGTCATCATTGCCACACCATGGGAAAATATCTTGCACTTCAGATTGGTGTATAGGTACTCTATTAGTGAGTGTTAGTCCCCTGATGGTGGGCTATCTTGCTGACCAATATTATTTTCATCTTTTAGAATATTTGATTCTTGAAGTGGGACACTAGCTACTTCAGGCTCATGTACAATCATAGAATCGTAGAATGGCTTGGGTTGGAAGGGACCTTAAAGATCATCTAATGCCAATCCCCCTGCATGGGCAGGGACACCTCTCAGTACAGCAGGTTGCTTAAAAGCCCCATCCAACCTGGTCTTGAACACTTCCAGGAATGAGGCATTCACAACTCTGGGCAACCTGTTCTGGTGTCTCACCACCCTCATAGCAAAGAGTTTCTTCCTAATGTCTAACCTAAATCTCTCTTCTTCCAGCTTAAAACCATTACCCCTGTCCTCTCACTTATATGCCTTTGTAAGAGGTCCCTCCCCAGCTTTCCTGTAGGCCCCTTCAGGTACTGGAAGGCCAGTATAATGATTTTACCTCCTGTGGAAACTCAAGGAAGCACTGAGTTTGGGTATGTGAATTCTCTAGATTCTTTCTGCAGTTTGAGGAAAGAGAGGGGCATTTCCAGAAAGTAACTGGGATCCAAGCAATGTTGAGTCATTCTCTCTCGAGATACCCCTCTCACCACAGGAGTACCTACTAGATTTTGGCTGCAGGAGGAGGGAGTGTTTAGTTTCATGGTGTTTTGTTTGTTTTTTTAAACCTGTGTGTTAAATGAGAGAAGAATAATGGAAGAGTGTTAGGTCTTTTTTTCTTGGATTTGATCCTTGCAAATATGGTGACGTTTTATGTCCTCTGATCACCAAAAATGTGCCATATTCTGAAAGGATCAGAAGTATTTTTCACTGTTAGATCCTTTTAGTATCCTACCTTGCTTAGTTCTACATTTTATCTAGGCATTCTAGGAATTAATGAGGGAAGTTCGGGTAGAAAGTCAAGAACAATGTGCAAGGTTTAACTAAGGTTTTTCTTTAGTATCAGAGCAAATGTGTAGGTGATGAACTTTTTTTTTGGTTCAGTATGTGTTAAGACACATCATGAGTTCTGAAGTGGTAATCAAAATACTTTATATATTGTAAAACTATGATTGCAGTCTGAGGAACAACTGGATATTGTTACTTCTCATTTCATGATATAATCAAGTGTGCTAGAAGTATGGTGTGTTTGGAATGTATTTTGAAGTAGGGTTTTTGGAAGTTACTAAGGCAAGTAGTTTAGTAAAATTCAGGAAATAGAAATATTGGAAGTACTCAAACTGTGTTGAGGGAGATTGTTTTGAAGTTAGGAAGGCTTTCAGTTCCATGCTGCGGGCCATAAACAGATAAATCAGTCATATACAATGCTTATGACAGGTATGATAAATAAGCATGCACACAAATGAGCTTGTGTGTCTCTCTCTATATTTATGTATACACTGTCTTTAATCCAGAAAAATTCCAGTAACTTTATATAAACACATTTGCAAATTAGTGTTTTTAGTGTTAAAAAAGACTTGTGTCTGCTGTTACCCATAGAAGCTTTATACTAGGCTGCAATAATCCGCTCAAAGCTTAGGACCTAAAAAATTCTGATCTGGAGATTCAGGTTGATTTTAGAGTTGGCATAAAAGGAGGGGAAGGCCTATGATATGCAAGTGATTTCAGTTTTATAAACTTGAATTGGAAGCCTAGTTTTCTGACCTACACAGTATAGTCTCTGTTTTGAGTCAAAGCACCAGTGCTTCTGCAGTTTAGTTATTTCTGAATGAGTAATGAGACTTTTTTTACTTTCTCAGTGGGTTTTTATTGTACAGTATGCTGGCTAACATACACATTACTGCTGGTGGCTTGTTTTTTAAGGCTCCATTCTGTTTAGCAATGAGCCACAGTTGTGATAAGGAGACTCAGCAAGGTAAGGAAGTTTCAGCATTACTGTTTGCAGTTTTTTTGTTTTTTTTTCTTTCCTGTCAACTTGCAGTTGCTTTCCAATCAGTGAGTATTAGAGATTGTTGAAGATACTTTGCAGATATGGAAATATATTAGAGAAATAAAAGAGAAATAAAGTGTCAGTATATCTCTCTTTTGGATATTAATTTTTGAAAATACTCCATTCTTTGTCTTACTTGGTTGACTGTTTCTTGACTGGAGAAGCAATTTAGGTGTTTAAAATCATACATACATTCTGTCAACATTTTAATAAATGAAAATTTCTTTTTATGAACTATTTTAAAGTGTCTATGTCAGAGGAAACGATTTCCATTGGTCTAAAGCAGTAGCACAAAAGTAGATGTTATATTACTCCTTGAAAGTATTCTATTGTAGGATACCACAGCTGTTGTTTAATGTACTGTAAGTGAAAATGAGTGTAATTCAGGTGCTTGCATATCTGTAAATACACTGATACTAAAACAGTAATTCTATAAATCAGTACAGGTTTTGCTTTGTATCTCCAGGGGTCTTTTCAGTGTTGTGCATGTAGATTTAGCCCTTTGTATCTCAGTAATGTCATAGGAGCATAATTTTATTTTTTGCACTAATTTTAATTTCTGCACAGGAAATCTAGAAAATTTCTTGCTAGACAGCAAATAACTGCCATTCAGACTTTTTTTTGTGCATAGTTTTTTAAGCAGAGTGGGTCAGAGCATGGGTAAAAAGGTGAAATGAGTATTGATATCTGTGTTAGTGCTTATGCCATCTCCACAACTTTATTACCAGAAACCTCACACAATTTGACATCTTCAGAGTTTGTCTTTGTGAATGAGCTAATAAATTGAGAGAAGTGAACTTTTGGGGAAGTAGAAAAACATAACTGTAGCTTTGAGTTGTCGTAGGTCTCACAGCATAGAATCATAGAATGGTTACGGTTGGAAAGGACCTTAAAGATCATCAGGTTCCCACCTCCCTGCCATGAGCAGGGACAGCTCACACTAGACCAGGCTGTCGCAATTAACAAGTAGCTGTTCAGAGGAACAATGGAAGGTAATGGATGGTCAGGTCTTGGACTTGGCAACTTCTCATAATGTTAGCAAAGGTATGTGGGGTTAATGCTCATTTTGTTGCTGCTCTTTTTATTGTGATCCTTCTTCAAGTGCTCAGTGTTATCTTTTTTCCTTGAGAGTACTATTTTCCTTCTTTGGATATTTTTTCTTCATCTTTATTCCACTGTTCTTCACTCATTCCACCCTGTTTGCCAAGTTAGCATTTTTAACCTAGAGGTCAAGATCGTGATGTGAAACTAAGCTCTTTTAGCTTGATTTGATCTATGATGCAAGAATACACATTTTAAAAATAAATACTGCATGATGTAAAAGTTGAATTTATAATGCAGTGAAACTGCAGATTAAAAGTATTGAAACATTGCCTGATGAGGAGCTTCACATGCTTCCCCTAAGGTGCTCTGTCCTTAGAATGTTTGTCTTCACACAAATGTTGGTTGTAGTAAAATCTGGCAGCTTTCTGGCAGCTGTGACTCAGGATTTTCTCTTCTGAACTTAGATCCTGGACTGTTTTCAGTTTTACATCTCCTGTGTGTCATTGGAAGTTTGGTTTTAATGGAATGCCAGCAACAGTTCTTAGAAAGCTCTCATAGACATTTTATATCTTTGCCACCTTTAACAATGTTGTTAATGATGGTGGTCTTGAAGTTTCACTTTTCTGAAATTTGTTTACTATGTCTTTTTTGCTGAGTCTATATTTTTGTGTGTTTTTTTGCTGAGTATATTTTTGTGTGTGCACCTCATTCCTTCTCCACATTTTTTGACATTTTGTGCAGATCCCATGGAACTTCATCTTTGATTTCTTTCCTTTTGGTGCTCTCTTGTGCTGGAATGTTGTAATCTGTAAATGTCAACTATACAACCTTTTCTGTGCTGTCTCCTTGAATTAAGTAGAGTCTGTTATCTCTTATGCCTGATCTGAATGTCACCTCGAGTCACAGAATTAAAATACAGTTCTCAGTCCTCGCCCACCCTCCCCAGGAGTTGTCTGCTTATCTCTTTGAACACTGGATATCATTGCAATCCTGTATTAGTAATTAGCATTAATTGGTCAGGCCGTTACTTGTAACTCTAAATTTATTATACCCTGAATTTCCCTGTCTATGCAGTTTTTTAAAGTTGTTTATAAAGTTCAACCTTTTCTGGCAAACCAAGCAGAAACTCTAATATAGTGTCTCCTTATCTTAAATGTTGTTACTTAGTTATTCTCTTGGGTGGCTTGTACACCAAAGGTCAAATGTGGTAAGAATTCTGGAAAGGGCATCTCTCCTTTCCATTTCACCTTCTCATCTTCTGCTGTGTTCTGCTTCTGAACGTTATCACATCTGCCTGTTTTTCTTACCTTTCAAAGTGCTGAGAGATATTCTAGCTACAGTCATCAATAAAACGTTGCTATTTTCAGCTTCTCCATGGTATCAGCCTTCACCACCTACTTCTAATTTTTAATAAGCTTTTTTTTTTCCCCCTGTTCATAGATGTTTGCAAAGCTACTTCATTATTTTCTTTTTAATTTCTCACAGCCTCCTGTTCCAAGTTCTTAACTATGATGCCTTGAAACATTGTGAGCATGTTTGAGGTGCTGATGCTGCCTTATGAGAGAAAAGTATTAGCTCATTGTTCTCACATGGGTTTCTCTCCAGCTGATGTTTGCTTTGGGGTAGGATTTTAAGCTCTTTATCAAGATAGCATCTTTTCCAGAATGAGAGGAGAAGCTGGTCTATGGCTAACATCTTTTAACTCTGGTAATAGGAGTGCTAGTGTATTGGAGAAAAAGAAACTGCATGGATATGGCTACTCTTAAATGTGGGCAGCTTTCTGGCTGCAGGTCTTCTAGTCTTGTCATACTTTTTATGTATTAAGCCTTAAAAAGGACTGGTTTGGATTTTTTTTTCTCTGTTAAATGATGCCTTTTTATTGTACCGTGAAATTTTTGTATCACTAAAGAAGCAACTTGCTATGTAATAGATTCCCCTATACACACCTGGGTTCTCAGTAGCTTTGGAACAAAACTGAAAATAACTTCTTTTGTCTTTAAATCTTCTTGTTTTCTGGTTCACAGAATTAAAAGAAATTGTATTTATCATCCAGAGTCAAAGTAATTATTTTCATTCCAAGAAAGCAGAAGATCTAAAAAGAGATATTTTAAAACAGGCTGCAGATCTTGGAAAGGTATGTTTAGATAATATAGATTGCACCTTGTTATGTATGTTTTCACTGCATTTTTCTGAAAATACAGTTTTCTATTGTGCTTTTTTTGATCCATTTTATTTATTGTGTTCTGTGTGCTTATAAGGTAACTATCTCAGTGAGAGTTTACTGATTGTATGCCATGATGTATCACCAAGTAATTGTAATTTGAACTATCTACCTCTTTATATAGCTGGTTTTGTTTGGATGGCATTTCATGTAAAACTGATAACAAGATAGACTTGTAATGTTACCTTAAGACAAAGTCAGATTATGTTTTTTACTTCATAAGGAAGGAATCATTTAGGCAATACTTAGACTGATTTTTAGATGAACACTTTATTTTATTAGAGCCAGTGGAGATGCTGTAATGTAGATTTTGTCAGAATTTCATTGGATGACTGTAGCATTGTGGCAGTAGACCAGCAATGTATGTGGACATTAAAATCCTGACACAGGATTCCCTGCTTTCTCCAGCTATAGTCCTCCACACTTCTGTTGCCCATGTGGGTATTAGCTCCCATGGTGGTGCAGTTCCTTCTGTAACTACCACTTGTTCCTCTGCCACCCCACTGCAGAGTGAACACTCTGCCTGTCACCTGCTGGGAGGCCATGCTGGCCTGGCAGCTGCACATTGTACAAGTTTGGTTTTGTCTTAACACTTTAATATGAAATTTTACTTGTAAAGCTTGAGCTTTAGAGAGGAGAGCTTTTAAGATACTTTAATTGAAAGTTATGTGTACATAAATAATGCCTAATTTATTTGTTTTTAATAAAAATAACAGCAAAGTAAGAGGCATATACCATGACACGGAGTTGCTTTCTGCAAGGTTATTGGACCTATTTTTCAATTCCAGGTTCTTTGTTGTAAAGGGGGAAAAAAAAGGTCTGATTTAAATTTTCTTATGTATTTTGGCCTTGGAGTGCCTAAATCAGGTTCTTGGGCATTTTAGGCTTCATTTATCCAAGCTTATCAAACCTGTTGTTATTATATCCATTCTAAATACAATTTTTAATCCCTTGACAAAATCAGTAATGTGAACAGCCTTTGTTCTGCAGAGTTTTGCTCTTTCAGAGTCCTCTTTGGGATTGGGCAAGCATTCAGATACAGTGTGAAGACAGGATTATGCTTTTATCTGTTAAAAATAAGGATTTTAGTTCTGTAATTGGTGTCACAGAAAATCAGTGATGAAAAGATCAATAAATGGAAGTATAAATAGTTTCAGTGAGGCAGGAATATAGGCATATTTTATGGGAGAGAGGTAAAATCCTTTCTGTAACCAAAGAGTTTACATATGCATAGTTCTGCCTTGAGTAAACTGACCTAGCTTTTAAAAAATGTATTGTCTAATTAAGGAGATTCCTTTATGCAAATGCTGAAATGGCGGTACTTTTCCAACATTAAGATTGTTACCTGATACATTTGGGGTATCTCAAGAAGTGATGAAAATACATTGCATCAAAAATCTCATACCTTAATCCAGGAAAAGGGGAAATCCATCAGCGTACAGGAAAAAAATTTAGCAGAGGCAGCATGTACTTGGTTTGTCTAGATTGTTTTTGTCAAGCCATAATTCTATGGTCACCTACTGTGAGGCATGACTAGTAATACTAATTATGGAGAAGAGACACAAGATCTCTTAAATGCATGTCAATTTTTCATTAAAAATCATACATGTGAAGTTATTACTTTCAGACAAAGGAAGCTACATCCTTGCGTTTTCATTAATTATTATTTTCTGCTGTTTTAAAATGTGAAGTGGAAACAAGCAGCTAGATTTGTGTTATTTAATGAAACTAGAATATCTGCATTTCTTTAAAATGGACTAGATCAGTCACATTCATATTTGCTTTACATTAATATTTACAAGTAACTTGTCCATTTTTTTCTTCCACTGTGTTCTTAACACCTTTTTTTCATGTGAAACAAATCTGTAATTCTGGTCACCAATAGATGTCATTATTCAGTTCATGCTTAAAAGCATGTGGTTATTTATTGAATATTAACCAAAACTCCTAAGTCTATTAAACAATGTTTGGAACATAGCAATGAAGAAAATTGCTCAAGATTTTTACTGAGTTTCTTAATTTTCTGAGATTTCTTTATTTAAGAACCTCGCTAAGTGAGGTATCTATTCCTAAGATAAAACAGATACAAATAAGAAAGCTGTGACGGTGTGAAAGGATAATGTTTTGGACTCTTTCTGTCATCTGAAAAATACTTAAGACCAGGATTACTCTTCTGGCTACTACATTTAAGGCTAGAAGACAGGTAAAACACAGTTTTTGAAAAAGGGTAGATTTTGTCTGAAATTCTGCTTAGATGCAGTTAATGTTATTTGATTGTCTGAGGCAATGACATTGTTTTGAAAACAAAGATTTTTGTATTTCTTCATGAAAACTAGTCTAGTAGAGTAAATACCTTTTTTTTTTCCTTTTTTTTACTCCAAGGGTTCTTCTATTGAACACCCTCAGCCAATTCATTATGTTAAAAAACCACGTATTTTTCCCAAAAAGCCTAGAGATTAAATGTTAGCCTATGTATATTAACCAGAAAAAAATATAGCAAATAAGTAGTATTCATTATTGAATTAAACAAAAAGCAAAACCATCAACCAACAGCAAACACCAAAAAAAGAAACTAAGAATGTAAGAATAATGTTTTAAGACTGATACCATGGAGTACTGGAAAATGAAAATTAGTATCACATACTTCCATATGAATAATAGATGATGTGAAGAATGACCCCTATTTTATAGAAGCATGATAACTATATTTTGCAGTATTTTTACAATTAGGCTTACTTTTTTTGGAGTAAAATCCCACCTTTTATATCATCTCATAGGAATGAAATTTCACAGATTTAAATTATTCCTGGATATAAAGGGGAATATTGCTTGTTCATGAGTTCTAGGACTATTACCATAGTGATCATTAGCATCAGTTAAAAATAAGAAAAAGAAAAAAAATATGGAACTTTATGTCAAATTACCTCCATATTATGTTGCTTAAGTAGGTACTTGCTTTAGTTAATATCTTCATATTTTCATAATACGTTTTCTTTGTCTATCTCCCATTTTGGCTAATGTTGGAAATAGGTGACACCTTAGGAGCATTCTATAGTCGTGTTCTTGTTTATTTAAAACAATTTTGCAAAATCCTGTGTGCTGAAGTGCAGCAGGAAAAAAAATTTATCAGAAAGCCAGCTGGCCTATGCTGCTGGTCTATGCCTCAGAAGTTCAGTTTCTTTGTTATCTTACAGGATCACGTTGACAGAAGGTTCTATTTTTCTGCTTCCAGCACACATTGACTGTAACTCAGTATCCTAGCAGCTGCATCTATGAGGTTTAAAAGCCTCTTGGTGCCTATCTCAATTTTATTTTGTTATGTCATTAGAGTGATGGCCACAATATCTGTTGCCAAAGTGCCAATTGTTGTTGAGTATGGCATGTGTGCTTTAAAAGTCTGTTATTTTTAATTGTGTGGGCTGTACTGATGGCAGCATTGCACTGTTTCAATAATAAGGAAGATTTCTTGGTTGAAAAGTTGGAGAGGAGGAAAAAAAGTATAATTAGTTTGCTTGAATTTTAACGTATATATGTTAAACCATCTCCATATTCCTATCTGCAATGATCTGTGTCCAAATTGTTCCTGCTCATGTTTTGGCCATCTGTGAGAGACTACTTTCAGGGAATTTATAGACTATCTTTTTTTTCACTCCCATGCCAGTGGGACATGCATTCCTTTTCTGAGTGAATTAGTGTTTTCTGCAGTACTTCCTAGCTTTAATTCCACATCTGATTTCAGATGCTGGAGTGAAGCAGCTGAAATTTTATTGTCCAAAAGCCTCTGTAAATATTCCTCTGTTATTATTTTATATTATTCCCACAATGAATTCTGACATCCATAGCTCATCTGAAAGAGACTTTGAATTACTATCAGGCTATGATAGAAACAACTCTGAAAGTGTGTCTGTTTTTTTCTTGGTCTGTAGTAGCAGTTGCCTTATTTTATTCTTTGTTAGATGTATTCCACAAATGCACAGCCATACATTCTGCTTCCAGATTTACAGCAGGCTGTGTAGCTAAAATTTCCTGGCACTTCTGAGTCTTGGAGTAAGTCTGAACTGTTCTGCATTTTATTCTTAATGTAAAGCTCACATGCATGGTAATAATGCTGTGGCTATAAAATCCAGTGGAAGGGTTTCTCTCATACTGCAACAGAGTGGTTTAAACTGAACTCTGTATTTAGAAAAGCTCTTAATTGACTTAATTTATTGGAGCCCTTTCAAAATTAATACCATAAATAAAGGCAATCCATAAATATATCTAGTGCTTAAACTTCCAGATTTCTTTCTCAAATTTGAAACTCCAGTCTGAAAAACCTGTTTCCTCCTCCCCTTTCTATAATGGCTTCCATGCCATGGAAGCTGCTTCCAACTGAGACTGATCAGATGATTCATCTTTGAATCTTGCTGTTTTCAGCAACATTTAATTGATTTTATTGAAGTGTTAGGCTACATTCTCTTCCTCCATCTCCATGTCTACAATAGTTTATCTTACGGCCTGGTTTTCTACAATACCAAGATTTTAAAACTGGAACAGTGGTGGTTTATTCATAGCTTTAAATTATTATATTTCCCAGTGTTATTAGAGCTAGTGTCTATTATTTTTGTTTGTTTTGTTTAAAATGTTAATGTGCAGTCTGTTTCCTTCCTAGCAACAGCTTTCTTTTCTTCTACAAGGATTTATTAATGTCAAATCCTGCAGCCTTATGAAATGTGCTTGTCACCTTAGTTCTTAAAAAGCTTTTTCCTTAAGATGTAAGAGTTTATCCTGCCAGGAGTGGACAGTTTTTCCAGTCTTAATTTATGGAAAGCAGGGCTCTTTGGCATACCTTCTCTATTACCTTTCCTTCATTTTCCCATCTTTGTAGAAGAAAGATCAGATGGCAGTCTATTCCAAAGCTGTTGGGGAAGATACTGTCATGTCATCTGTGATACTGATCTTGTATGCCACTCTACTTGGCACAGGTCTTGGCCGTCTTTGACAGATCAGGAGAACTCCTTCCACTGCAAAATGTTGAACCTGGCACATGAGTGGCAGTAGACTGTGTGAAGGTGTCTTGCTGAGATGACAAGTTCTCCATTTCTCTGTGTTGAGGACAGAGACACTGATGGGGTACCTGGAGCATGTGGCACTCTTATTTCTCGAAAAAGTGAAGTCTCTGCAGGGAGTTCATCATGCACTCAAAGAACTAGAGTAATTAGGGAACATGGTACTGCAGTGAAAGAGAGGAAGGAAGATGTTCCAGTCTATATCAGTGGCCTCCTGAACCTACACAGATCCTTGACCAGAAGTTCCAATTACCTTATTACTCAGTATGAATTGCTCTTGTGATCCTTTTTTAAGTCTGTATTGCTTGAGTCAGACAATTGTACCAGTAACTACTGGGAGCCCTGGATCATCTCCGGTTTATGAATAGAAAATTCTGCATACAGGATTCCTTTTTTCTTTTCTTCCCTCTCACCCCTTTTGGTTAACATTTTCCAGTTTAGAGAATGAACACCTAACTTAGACTTGATGATCTTAAAGTCTTTTTCCAACCTTTATGATTCTATGATTAATAATTCTTTGAAGTATTGCCATACTAGTTGAATTTTCTCTTCAACTTGCATGCTTGGACCTTGCATAATATGCATTTTTTTGTTGTTTAGAAGATAAAAAATGTTGAAGTTTTTTCCTCCAAAGGTACACTTTTTAATTAACAAGTTCAAATACTTCTCTCAGTTTTCAAAATTCAGACTGCTGCTCAAACTAAGTATTTGAGTGGCTTTAAATCCATGTAATTATTTTATTTTTTATTAGATCCCAGTTAACTGAAAGTATAGCAGATGTGCCATACTCACTTAGCACATCTGGACTAGTTTTTGCACTGTTTCTACATTACCAAGTAGCTGAATGGAAAATGAGCAAATATGAAGAGCAAAGCAGTCATTGCTGAGGAGTTAACACTAGTGTTAAATGACATTTCAAAGGGTTTTGCTTTGAGCTAGTTCTGATTTGGTTCTGTGAACTACAAGTCTGTTAGCAGCATGTCTTCTGGTTTAATTCCATTCCAAAGGAATACAGTTTGTGCAGTCTGTGATGCCACACAGTGCAGTGAGTAGGAAAAATTGCACAAAAATGGACTAACCTAGACTGAATATATGAGGCAGTGTTAGGAGGCAGTAGGAGCTGGTTTTGGTCTAGGTTTCCATTTTGCAATTAGATTTGAACTTTATTGAGTGAGTATGTCTTTTTTAGATATTAATATGTGTGATTATAATTTTGACGTGGATCAATATCTCTGAATGTTATTCACATGTGGAAATGCCATTTTAGCTGGGGATGATTTGTGCCGTCCTGGGTGCTTACAGAGGTGCCTTTTGACTTTGTAGTCTCTAAAATCTTAGCCCTTTTCTTTGTTTTCACATGATACTGTTTTGTTCTCTGTAAATTGTGCACTTCTTATAGAGGTTTTGGTAAAGTAATGTGAAATTGCATGTAGTACTGAAAGATTTCAGGTATTCTTTCAGGTTTCCAATCCTTTTAATCATTTCTTTAAAAATATTTCATTCTGAATTATCTTTTTCTTCATTGCACATGCTCTTTTGCTCTCCAAATCTGACATCAGGTACTTTTTGCCCTTTTTCTTTGTACTGAAGATAGAATAAGATTAGTAGGTCAACCCGGATACACTAGATGCAGAGTGAAAATAATAAAATGAGAAAGGAAAAGCAACAGAGATCCTCCTGTATTTTTTGTAAGAGGCCGTCTAGCCTTTAAACATCTCCTCTATTAAATCAGAATTTATGCTTTATTAGATATAGGTAGAAGGAAAGGCATATGCAAGGCAAGTATTTTCATGATTTAGAGGAAATTTGGTAGAGAAAGAGCAGGTTTATGAGAATGTCAAAAAGAAAAGATAACTTGCAAAAGTATCAGATTAACTCAAAAAAAGAATGCTTTTTATTTATCATAACTCCTTTGATCTGCACAAATGGGGTTAGATGGGGGTTTTGTTAAAGATGAGATACTTAAGTATATGGTTCCCCTACTTAGACTGCAGTTTACTTCATATCTTTAACATGGGAAAATATTGTTTATATGTAAAATGCATACAATTCAGCTTGTAGTGTAGACACTAAATATATTACTGTTATTAACTATTTTTATCTCTATCTGGCTCCTATTGTACATTAAATACATGGCCACAAATAAATACCAGCAAAACTGCACAGTTTGTATGCTTGTTAAAACAAATGTTCTTGTAATGATAGAGGTTTGTCCTTCTGTCTTCCCACCTGCAGTCCTGTAAGCAAATGGGTTTTACCTTTTATGTTTTTACCATGAAATAGTTACATTTTAGTGAAATATCAGATGTGGATTATTCTGTTTCTAAGATTTGCCACTTCTACTAATTTTAATTTTTACACTTTTTAATCTGGGTCATTCAAAAGAGCATACATTTTTAAAACAGCAGATCATTATTTTTCATAGGTTTAATGCACTCCTGAGAGGGACAGTTATTCTTTAGAATGGTAGAGATACTTTCTTTAATGTATGAAGGTTGGAGGTTTTATGTATTTCTAGGTGCTGTGCTTAACTGCCCTTGGAAAGGATTTAAAGTAAACTTGTCAGAGTCAGGAAGCAGTGTGCACTTTATTTTTGTGTTTAAATAGGAGTTTTGTGTTAGTGAAATTTGGCTTATATTCATGAGATGCACCCATCAAACACAAATGGCATATGCATGGTGTAAGTGGAAAGGGATTAGGCCCTTGGGGTGTCAGGATGGTTTGTCTCAGCTTGACTGAACCCCCCTGCTCCCTGCTGCAGGCAGCAGCGCTGCTGAGCGTGTTCCCAGTGGGATACATGGGATATACAAACCGTGTACGTGGTCATCAGGGAAGACCAACACAGGCAGAAACCACAGCACTGGCAGGAACTGCACCACTGGCCTGACCTGGTTTCACTTCTCAGGCTGATCAGGAAGAAAGCCTGTTTGTGGAAGAGGTACACATGGATATATGTACCTACACTGCGGATGCCTCCAGTAGGTGGTCTTTGACATTCAGTCTGTGCAGTGACTAGTCCTCACGTTCATGGTCTCCGTATTACCAGCATGTGAGGCTTGCTATGCAGCTTGCAGCTCCATGACAGTTACTGGTGTTTAGCCTGCTCCTACACACACACACACACACACACACACACACACACACACACGCACACACGTTACAAGTCCTCCCAGTATCTTTAGACACTTGGTGTACCCAGTAGCTGCCCCTGGCCGCCCTAATCCCTTACACGTGTGTGCACGTGCGCGCACACACACACACGTAGTAATGGGTCTTTCTGGTAGCTGGTGCAGACACTCTACCAGTAGCTAACCTTTGCACCCCAGAGGCACTCCTGTAGCTGGGACCTCCTGTTTCCTCCAGTGACAGCATCTGTCAGGCCCCGGTGTCTGCCCCAAAGCTGCTGCTGCTCTGATACCTGGCTCCCTACTCCAGCTTGATGCTCATGAGCAGTTACACACTCTGACACACACACAAAGTACATGCACCCCCCCACTCCCCAGTTCCTGGCAGCACAGACAGGTGCACCCCTATGGCTCATGGTCCCCTCCCCAGTTGCAGGCACTCAGATCTCCAAATATGCACAGAACCTCCTGCCCAGGAATAGTTAATCAATGGAGTAAGATAACTGCCTATATATTATGGAAGATAGAGATCTCTCCTGTTTTTTGTATGAACTACTGAATAAATTATGCAGTTGGGTTTGTCAGAGGACCATGTTTAAAGGATATTTTCTTGGGAACTTGCCCAGAATGACAGCTTGTCTGTTAAACATCTGGATCTATCACACTAGGCAGATTTCATGTAATAAAAGAGCAAAGAAATTTATAGAAAAAAAAGTTGCTTTGTAGGAAGTTTCTTTGATTTTTCAGTAAGAAAAAAATGCAAACTACTCGTTTTGATTTTTGCATAAGCCCATGGCGTTTTGTCATGCTGTTAGAGTGACAGGTCAAAGCTGAACTTGGCAAAGTAAAGTGTGTTAGAACTCTAACATAATTACTGTGTAACATGATTATCAAATGTAAAACTTTGCAGAATACCCTACATAATTTTAAAGTTTATTTACAGTATGGAATTTTATGATATGGTAAAGAAATAAGTATGATATATTCTTTAATTGATCACATGGGACCAATGCAAAACATTTAACTTGAAGTGTTTTTGCTTTGTATCTAGTAGAGAATTAAGAAATCCTGTGTTGAAAGAAACAATCATACCATTCTAAGTCATCTATTCTGCAGGGCCATTTATCAGTAAAAAACAGTTAAGAACTAAGTCATTCCAGAGTAATTTTTTTAAGGTTAGTTGGTGTTTAGGAAAAAAAGTGCATTTAAGTCAAGGTTAATGGGAATGTTTTTGTTTTTCTTGAAGGAATTACCAGTGGTTCTGCTTATTCATCAGATGGAAGGGCATGAAGGTGCATGGACAATATTACCATTAATGAGAGAGTAAGTGTAAGGAATGCCAGTAATTTTTAGAATTATTTTGTAACCAAGAACATAAATATTAATTACTCAAATGTATTTTTTCAGAAGTAAAATGTGTGAACGAGAGTTTGTAACCTTATCTTTTTACTCGCTTACTTTAATGTCTTTTTGGTTTTCCAAATAAATTTTATTTTAAATTTCATTAAATCAGTGAAAGCTGTTTTAAATAAAAGAAAAACAATAATATAGCATGACTGAACAGCTGCCTTCTTCAACTCATTGTAGGTTTTAAAATTATTAGGGAAGTAAATTAGTCAAAATAAATACCATTTTAAAATGTGTATTTTCCTATTTGGTCCTCACTTGGCGCAGTGTAAGGTATGAGATATTTCAGAACTTTGGGCCTTTCAGATTACTTGGCTGAATGAAGTGAATAAACAGGTTTTAAAAATAGATGATAATAATACCTGTTTGGCGTTTCTATCTTTTATTGCTTTCAGTGTTTCTTGGAGGTAATATGCCTCTATAGTGCAAAGGTGTAGATTTCAACACTTTTAGGAGCTCATTTGGCTAATTTTCATCCTGCTATGGTCAGAGAAGGCAGGTAATCTCAAATACTTTTTTGTCTTAGCGTGGGCAGATGGCTCCAAGGAAGACATGCTGCATTTACATGGCAGTATGTTGCAAACTGTCAGGAAGCAATCATCCTTGTTTCAGAAAGTCTTAAAAGTTCTTTGGTGCTGAGGGCTATCCTATGCCTGAAACTTGCATTTGAAATTGATGCAGCCTCTTGAGCTCTAATTTAGTTAATATAATTTATTAGAGTTACTCAGAAGGATGGTTTGGTTTGAGTTTTTTGCATCAGAGTGGTTGCAGGGACAGGATGCTTTTCCTTCTGCTTTTCATTGCTTGCTGTGTGTAGAAACATGAAAATAATGCTTGCATAGAGCTGTCTTTGAGATATGTGTAAACTGTGAAAAGAAGCAAAAGGAGAATTAAAGTAAATTGGTTATGTTCCAACTATTATTCATCGTTGTTTTTCCTTCCTAGCACCTGTTTCAATGACCTAGTGGTTCCTCTTTGAATTATTTATGTCTCAGTGCCAGGGTTTACAGACACAGCTCTTACAAGAGAGCAGAACTCAGAAACAAAAATACAAATGCTCATTTGTATGTTAAAACATAAGAAAATTCTTCAGAAATCAGAAGGGAAAGCTTAAGTACAAGGTTTCCATCTTGATAATTCTGGAATATGCCACTTTTAGGAGAATAAAAACATGGAGTGGTTCAGAAGTATGTTGATGTTGTGAGGCTTGTACTGTTTAGTTTTCTCTATGGACATAAGAGGAGGATGGGAGATCACCCCAGTCTGCAGCAGCTGTTGGAATTGTGATATAAAATGTATTCTTATCTGGAAACTGCTTTCAAAATAATAGCTTTCCTCAGTTCTGAAGATGTCAGCATTTTTAAAGAGGCCTCTATATATTTATGACAATTCTTACTTCTTAGTTTTTTAGCATAGGTCAACTTGACCAAAATACTTTATTTCAGATCGAATCATAAAATATCAATTGTTGGTTTTTTTACACAATGGATGTTTTATTACTGTCTCCAAAAGGCCCACCACATGTCTTCTCAGTAACCATGTTCATTAAGCAGAGAAGTATATTTTTTTAATTGTGACCCCAAAACTGTATCTTACCTGAGTATCTCCAAATGTCTCCTTGCAATCTGAACTCCAAAGCTGTGTGGTATGAGGTCTGTATAAGGCTCTCTGCAGGCCTTTAACACTTAGCCAGATTAACGGATCATTCTTTTGGTGAACTTGCATGTGCTATATTCACAAGATGCAGTAAGTCTTTGTGGGGTGTCATTCTGGTGTATTCTCCTTGCCCTTCACGCACCTGCTTTTGTGTAACCTGATATTTCTCCTAAAATTCTAGCTGAGCACTAAAGCTTGAGAGAAAAACCATCAGTCTTCACAGGGCATTGAATACTGTACGTATCTAAAAACATGAGGGTATTTGATACTCTTTCTCTACTCGTTTGGCAAGTTTCAGAAGGAATGGCTAGGAGGTGTCTTTCCCAGCTGATTGTATCTTTTTTGCTTGTCTGAAGGACAGAGATGCCCAGATTTCAGTGTTGAGTAGACAACAAGTATATGCTCCTATGAACTAAAAGGATAAATGGATCCCGAGTTCTTCTGGCTGTTACAGTATAGCAGATTAAGTATCATAAGCAGAAAGCAGTGAATAATCAAATACTATTGCAAGACATAAAGGAAGCTTTATAGGAAGTCATGGTTTAACCTCAGCCAGCAACTAAGCACCACACAGCCACTCACTCACCCTGTGGGATGGGGGAGAGAATCAGAAGGGTATAAAGGTGAGAAAACTCATAGGTTAAGATAAAGACAGTTTAATAGGTAAAGAAAAAATCATGTATGTCAGCAAAGCAGAACAAGGAATTCATTCCCTTCTTCCCATCTCCAGGAAAGCAGGGCTCCATGACATCTAACAGTAACTTGGGAAGACATGTCTGATTTTATGAGTAGTCAGTCCTGTAGAGAAAGAAATCTGTGATGTTTATAGGTGCTAATTTTGTTATCCCCTTTGCAGATTATTTTAAAAATTAAATCAACATAAAAGCTATGCAAAGGAAACTGAACAAGATGGTTGGTTGGTAGGTTGGTTTTTTTCCATTAGGATGTCATGCGTTCTTTTGTTAAGTAGTGGAAGAGTTAAGCTGGTAGGAGTAGAGAAATGAGGAACGAGAATTTTTTGAAGGAGTCAAGAATCCTGCACTGACTACAGTGTTAGCTTTGAGGAAGGTAGGGGAGTCCCTTCAATCTGTGTAATTTCACTGTACTGAAAAAGCTGATCAATCTTTTGGGTTGGAGGTGATAATTGTCAAACAACTGTGGAAAAAATCTCTCATTAGGCATGTTTGTGATAGTTGCAGTGGTGTTAGATGTCCAACAGTGGGGTTCCTTGGCAGAAAGTTAAGGTACAGAGGGGAAAGTAACTTAAACTGTTATCTATAAACTTCTGAATTCATAGGTGGCTATAAGACCTGTAGTGTCCTATGTGGACAATCTTTATGTATGTCTATTCCCTTCTTTCTGGAATAACTATGGTGCTATATAAACAGCAGACAAAGCAATATCTTTATCCATTCACTGTAGGCCTTGATATTTAATTCTAAGGTAGTAATAAAAGTTTAAATTTTGTAATAAAGGAATAATTTATTGCAGAGTACTAATATTTGGGGAATGTGGGTTGAATCTATCATTCTGTTCATAAGCCAGCTTATTAGTAAAATGTTAATTTCTTTTGTTAGCTTCTCTGTTACCTATGGTAGGAACTCCACCTGGATTTTCTTCTGTGAAGAAGATACAAGAATACAAGTTGTAAAGCTGCTAGAAACACTTGGAAGATTTGACGGTTCTAAGGTGAAATAAAAACTTAGATATTTAACTTTATTTTGAATGTGCTTGAATGGAGTTTTAGATGAAACATGGAATCATTTTAAGTAAAAAATTATAAATTCAGAATTTTAGAATTCCTAGTTACAGAACAGTTTCTGTGGTCCAGAATTCAATTTTTTTAACATGGCCTGGATGGCTCAGAGCTCCAAACATTGGAAGAGATGTGCCCAAACAGCTTAAAATAGGGGAATAGATTTCTGTTTCTGAGGCTGAACATGAGCAAGGTATTTAACATGAAGCAGTATAAGAACCTGTCTAACTGCTGAAAAACTGTTGAAATTGAGTGGAGAAAAGTTTCCTTTTGCAGATAGCTGGAAAATGATGTAGCAGTAGTAAAAAGATGAATAGAGTCTGCCATGTGGTCCCTCTCCCTGTTTTCCTGTCTGCCATCAGTTCCAGTTATCATCAGACAGAATGACTGATGTTAGTTTGTCTAAATGTCTCTCGTCTAATATGGTAGGGTATTTTATTTGCAATCTGCTTCTGAACTCTCTTGGTTCCAAGACAGATTTCTTTACCTGCTGGAAAAGAAATGAGACCAAAAGACTTGCAGAGCAGAAGAAAAATGCAGTCACCAAGGAATAAAGTAAATTTGGCAATGCAGCGTGAAAGCTGTTAATTCTTGGTGTTGAGGAGAAGACTCAGCTTGACCTCTGTCCTTTGCCAGGAATAAAAGAAGTAAAAATCTTGTATGTGAAATATGTTTTGCCTCTTTATTGCTACCTTGACTGAGTATGGAATCCTGCTTCAGGTCTCACTGTAGCATTTTTACTTCTTTTGCAGGCACATGGCCTTGTCAGTTTTTTCTCACAATTATTTTTTTAAATAAAATGCGTAATAATAACTCAGAGATCTTATTTTTTTAACACTGTCTTCAAAATGGCTGAGTGAATATATTCAGACATTTGGAAAATCGATTTGTTCCTATTTAAGAAACACCTGCTCCTAATTGATGTTCTAGATTCTGCTCTTATGCCAATTTTAATCTCCCCATTGCATCACATGTAAATTCTACTATAATAATAAATTATGTTCAAACCTGCATTGGAAGTAAAAGATTTTGCTCTTGTACATAGTAATCATCATCTTAGTGTAACAGCCTATAACTGATTCCTTACATACAGCAGAAGTCCATCAGTCAGAAAATGTAAAGTGAGTTAGACCAGAATGAGCTTATTCATTATTCATTCTCAAACATCAGCAGTCTGCATAATAATAAGCTGGTATACATTAATCACAATAAAAAGTCTAGAAGAGGCATGTGAATAGTTAATGAATCTGCAGGTTTTCAGTCTGGTTATGTAGAGGTTAGTAACAACTATTGAGACTGATATGTAGTAGTGAGGGGAAAAAAATGTGTAAAAGCATCATAAGAGACTGTGGAGAAATATTAAGAGAATGACCTGCATTGATAACCAAGCACATTATTGACTGCAGTAAAAACCAGTGAGGAATATCTGATTTACATAATGACCTCAAGGCAAGCACTCACATGGTGAATTATATCTGAACATCAGGAAACCCTTTCTTACTGTGAGAGTGACTGAGCACCTGCACAGGTTGCCCAAAGAGCTTGTGGAGTCTCCATCTTGAGACATAACTCACAAGACTCTAGATGTGGTCCTGGACAACCTGCTGTATAGATGGCCCTGCTTGTGAATTAAGTTAAACCACCTGATCCCCAGAAGTCCCTTCCAAACTCAGCTTCTCTGTGATTGTGTTTTAACAGCAGATTGATTCAAGCTATTCTTTCATAATGGAAGATGGAAGCAAGGTTATACCAAATTGTATGTTCCTTTCCTCATCCTGTTACCATAACCAGATGACAGTCTACAGCCCCAAAGATAGCAGAATGAGTAAACCAAGCTGATGGGTATCAATGACTTAGTAGCTGTTGTTACCTAAAGGGTATAAAAGGTCTGTCTAAAGAGCAGTTTGTCTTGGAGAATCATAAAAACTCATAAGGTGTTGTAGTAGGACACGGTAGGGATGTGACAGCTGAATTCTCCTGTCCTCTGTGCCAGATACAAGTTGAAAGGATGAATTCACCACAGTTAACTTAGTATTTGTAAGTGGGTACAAGACCAAGTACAATCAACTTAGAAAGCAAGTTAGGTAAAGTCAACCCTGCCCTCCTTGAGGTCTGGTATTGGGTTTTCTAGCAGCAAATTCCTTCTATTAATTCTTCTTAGCTATTAGTTTAAAGTATTCCAAAGTCTTTGGAGCGCTCTTACAGAAGGTAAGTGATTTTTCCGATTTTTTGAAGCACAATATATTAACTGATGCTGTGGATGGTAGTTACCTGTCATGCAATAAATTGCATTATTTTCTCTTATCCAGATTTTTGCCAATATGCAATTTGGTTACCATCACTCCTTAAGTTACTTTATAAGTTCTTTCTCATATAACTAATTTAATCTTGTAAAGGCAGCCTGCACAGTTTGACCTGGCTTGCATATCAGTAATTAAACAATGTTATGACTAAATAAACTTGGAGAGTATTGGCTGTTATCTGGAAAGCTTTCAGTGTGATTTTTGGCTTAATATTGCCAGAAATAATATTATGTGAAAACCTGAGGAGGGTATATGTATGGGTTTAATTTTCTGTTTTATTTGTAGAGCAGGGAAAGTAAGATGTGGGGTTTTTTTTCGTCCATAGATTTGATGTAAAAATTAGCATGCAAAATTAGGATAAGTAAAAACTTCTGTTCACTGCATAGCATAACAAAGTGGAGGTTCATAAAAAAAAATGTACTGTCACATTAAAATGTTGCTGTTTATTAACTATTTCTGAAGCAGAATAGTGTTTTTATGTTGTCAGTATTTTGAAACCTTGCAGGCTGTGGAAGAGTTAAAAAATATGTACAAATTTTTATTATTTCAGGGCAATCATCCTGTGTATAAAAGCTAGTATGTTTGCCCATATTCTTTTATGTCCCAATATTTTGCCTTTTTCTTAATCCTTCCAGTGAACACTATTGAAGCCTTTCAATAAAGGAAGGAGAAAACAAGGTCTGTTGTGATTGAAGGTATAAGTTCAAGGCTGAGTAAGAAGGTACCAGGTAGCAACTCCTACATAGGTGATTTAAAAAATGGTGGAAAAGCCTCAACCCTTACCTTCTTCACCTGTTGGGTAGTATTGGTTTAACTTTGGTTGTTTCCTCAACAGATTCCTGAATACTTAGCTGTTGGCCTCAGCAGGCACATGAGGGTAATGAGAGCAAACAAGTTTTCAGCATTGGTGTTACCTGAGGAAGTTGCTGGTTGAGTACAAGATACATTCAATTTAATTTTATTGAGAGTAGCTGATCAAAGGAGAGGGAAGAAATGTGCAGAATTCATGGGCAATGCACTCAGCACCCCACGCAGGGACATGCAATTAGCCTTACACTTGCATCAGTCCCTTGGAGAGCTAATGTTCCTGGCAGGGGAACACTATATGTATCCTGTATCTTTGACCCACAGTTGCTTAACATGGGTCCTGGCATCCTTGCAGAGGTGGGGTTCTTGAAGCAGGCAGCACCCCATGGCTTTAACTCTTATGTGTGCAGCAAGGCAAGCATCCCTGGTAGCTCCCAAGGGTTGCCCTTTTATTGCTTTCTGGGCTGCCAGGTTGAGCCCTGGCTGGAAGCTCCAGGTTGTGTCCAGGCAGCCAGGCTGTGCCTGCTGGGGCAGCCATACTTGCAGACTCCTGCCAGGCTCAGCCAGTGGGTTTTGGCTGGAAGTGTCTCCTGGTGTATGCAGGTCTCTCTTCTGTTGTTTGCTGACTGGCCCTGGCCAGATCTCACTCATTCCTCCCATCAACTCTGGGGAACTATACCATGTAGCTCAGTCTATATATATAGCAACATCTGCTAGGAGTTGAAAAGATAGCTACTGAGAAGCAGGATGCTCTTGGGGTTAGACCAAGTTTTTTTGGCCAGATATTTTTTGTTTTTAATTTTTTAATGTATTTATATATATACATGTATATATATACACAGCATATATTATTTTCCCCTTTCATTACAGTGCTTATTCTGCAAAAATTAGGAGGGATACTTGTTCTATATCCATCTTAAAGAGAAAGACCAGGATAACTGACAGGAATGTTAAAAATGTAGTGCTTAAGTCAGAGTTCAGCAGAGTCAGTAGTAAATTCTTAAACACTGTTGTTAAAAACTAATAATACTCCTCAATATTTTACCTTAGAAATACCTTCTTGGGACCTTCTTCATTTAACTATTTTAAAGATTAAGGTAGTTTAAATGTATTTTATTTTTAAGTTCCTTGGATCAAAGAGGCCAGACAGATGGAATTCAAAATGGAGATACTCGTGAAATTCTCGAATGCAATTCTTTTGGGTGTCTTGTCTAATCAGTAGTGAGTTTGGGCAGTCAGAGACTGGAACAGGATGTCCAGAGGGGTTATGGAATGTATTCAAAATAAGACTGGACACAGTCCTGGGCATCCTGCTCTGGCCAGCCCTGCCTGAGCAGGGGGATTGAACTAGGGAAACCCAAAAGGTCCCCTCCAACCTCAACCCCTCTGGGATTCAGTTCTCCTTGAACAGGTGGAATCCAGGGCATATGCTGGAGTTTGAAAACACAGTATGTACCTGAACTCAAGAGAATTACTTTTTATTTAATTTCTTACCAAGTACAATTTTTGTCTGGATTACTGTCAACAATACACTTCCCTTGATCTTGTTTTTAGGTTTGCTTTATTCAGCATGAATACAGTCATCAGCTTCACTAAAAGGATGCTGTAGATGAAAAAAACTGTATCCTATATTCCTTTACAGGAGTGGTTTTTAGGTAAAGCATTATATGATGAAGAATCTACAATAATTCACCATTATGCCTTTGCTGAGAATCCTACAGTCTTTAAATTTCCAGATTTTGCTGCTGGTTGGGCACTTAGCATTCCACTTGTTAACAAGTAAGAATTTAATTTTTAATCACTTCTTAGTTGTTTATTGATAGTAATTAAGAGTGTTGTATTTATAGATTACTTCTAAATGCAAATCAATGCTATTTTAATGAGTTATGATTCATATGGATTAATGTTTTCTCTAAAACATGAAGGTGCAGTGCAGTTGAAGGTCTTACTGCAGAACACATAGGTATGCAAAGCCAAACTTGAATTGTGAGCTGTCTTTGAATTGAAGCTGCTGACTGCATTTAGCTATGACAGACAGCTTGGGATCTAGTCAGTCAGTGCAGACTGGCCTGTCATAGATTTGACTTCAGAGCCTACACTGAGCTTTTGCTGCTGCCACCTGCCTTATCAGCATCCATGCCAGTGCATGTAAGTCTGCTTCAGTTTGAGGATCTAAGGTGTGTAGCCAGCCGTTCAGCCAGGCACACCACATACAGGAAGCGCTGGGTATGGCTACCTACACTTGTGTACCTACTGCCTACCTACCCAGAAAATCCTTCTTGGCTAAAATTCCATTTCTTCCTTTTTCTGCACATTCCGTACATAATTATTTTTAATGAACGCTTGAAAATTCATTAGTAGACAGGTGCAGAAATAGATTTCTGTGTCATTGTTGGGCATGTGATCTGTTTTGCTTCACTCTGCCTGTCTGAAAGTTGTTATGTCAGCTAGTTAATTATCCACTACTAGTCATTCAACCACTTCAATACCATCTCTTGTAATTTTAAAAATGTGTTCTCCCTCAAACAGCAGTTTTATTCCTGAATCTTCAAGTGGCTGCATTGCCCTCTAGAAGTGTTTCTCCCATGCTATAGAGACAACCTAGATGTTTATTTCAGATTAGATACTTAGTTTTTAATCTGAAATGCAACTTGCTGTTGCAAGGATTGATGTAAATTGAAGGTGCCTAAATACTGTGCTTTGGAATACAGAGAACAGAATATTTTCTGAAGCTTGAGATGCTGATCAGTATTGGGCTTGAAACGTGTTGCTGCTTTTAATGTCTTGGAATTTTTATGCCAGATTCTTCATCTGCTCCAGGTGACAGTTTCTTCTTGGGCATAAAGAATATATTTAAAATGTGTGTGATGTAAATGAATATTAACATCACGCTATGCTAAACAGAAAAAAAAGGAAAAAAAAAGCTGTATATGAAAAAAATATAGTTTCTTCTTGGGGCAATAAAAACAGAAGTGTGATTTTATTTTTTTTTTAAAAAAAAATTTAAGATGGTCAAGTCTACCAGCTACACTTTGCTGCATACAATAGTGGCTGGTTTTATTTTTTTTTTTTTTTTTTTTTTTTTTTTTGAATAAATTTCTTCATCTTTGATTGTATAGGCTTGCAAAGAAGTTGAAAAGTGAACCACTCAAGTCAGACTTTACAATAGATTTAAAGCATGAGGTAAGCAGTGATGTGATGAAAGAAAAAATTGTCTTAAATCTGTGTATTTGCATGGTGATAAATGATAATGGAAATAAATTTTCTTAGAGGTTGCTAAGAAGTTTCACTGCAATGGCATATTTAATTTCTTTCCCTTCCTTTAGATTATTAAAACCTAACACTTTAAAAGTGCATTTCAAGCATAGAAGATTCAATTAATAAAATGGCATTAATGTATGAACACATACATGGCTGTGTACAGTGAAGTATTTTCTAAGACTTGCTCTATAAAGAAAGAAAGATATTCCCAGTTCATGAAGCACAAGCTGACACAAATAGTATGTCTGATACCATACCTCACTCAGTTTCTAAATCAGGCTACAGAGCTAAATTTGATGGAGTTTGGACTAAACTGTATGAGGAACCTAAGTGTTTTGTGAACAATCAACTTTACAACTTGCAGCATGGAATTCTGGAAATTTATTTTTTTTTGCCTCTGGTTTCAACAGTTTTAAAAGGTAGTTACCAGGTCTTTCAGAAAATAAGTGTGTTTACTGAAAGGAACAGGAGAAGAAAGGAGTGTGGGGACTGAAAGATGATCAGTGGAACCTTTTCTGAAGTTTTTTTATTTTTTCTGCCTTCAAAATGTTTGTGCATTCCAGAGTTTTCTACTGTCATCCTGAACCAGAGTGGAAGGAGAGGATGAATCTGTAATAATTTTACTGATTTTCAGCCTGAAATTGGGTGATGTTGAAGTAGTTTTAAGTTCTAAAAACTCTCCTGAAAGTCAGCTATATATTGTGTTTCCAGCCCAGAAAAACTACCTTACTTAAACTACTGCTTCTGTTTCAGATCTTTATTCTGTAATGTTTGTAAAGCTCCTCATTTCCAACATAAATCTACAATGTATTTCAAGAGTATAAATTGGTAGCATATTAAATTAATTTGGTTTTATGCTAACACTATTCTTTCACATACTTACCGCTCCTTGACTGATATAGTTCTCAAAAGCAATTGGACTATTCTCAGCTTTCATTCTGCCACATGAATCAAGCCAACAAGCTGTTTCTTTCCTCTTGTTAATTTTTCTAAATGCAAGACCTTGGGCTTCACACTGCTAATATTCTTTTTCTAAGTTATCTCAAAGTCATTCATATGTTCCCAATATTTCAGCCTACCTCAGCATTAGCAAAGCCTCTGCACATAGTGTCATGAAAAAAAATAGGAATCACTAGCAGACATTTTTTATGTGCCACAGATTGCTTAATGAAAAACAATTGATCACTGGACTGGCAAAATTACTTCTATCCACTTCTTACTCCATTAGCAATTTTTTGCATGTGTTTCATTTCAGATTTATTGCCATAGATAACCTTCTTCAGGCCTGTAGTTATTCTTTCTGCATAGTCTAGTGTCTCCCTAGAGACAGTTCCATTCCACCTCATTTATTTGATAATTCACCATCTTCTCTTTCTTAAATCATTTTAATCTCTGCATCTTTCTTGTGTGAATCAAGACTGACAACAAATCAAAGGATATAATGTGATTTAATGATTGTGTGTAATGTTTAAATTTATGAAGGATAATAAAATTTTTAAGAAATGTAGAAATGTTTTAGTTTGACAGTGTCCTAGTAGTGTGTGCCTCTAGACCCTGGTATTTTATTCTGCTCTGTATCAGGGTTTTTTTCACCCTATTTGCCTTCCAAGTCTCTGTTTATATCCCTTCCCATCTGTATGGCCTACTTTGCAGATATGGTAGAGGATTTTTGTCATGCTGCTGCTCATTCGTAGATTATTTTTTAGACTTTTTAACTGCACAATACATAGCGTGTTCCCCAATGCTTATTCAAAACTGGAAATGAGTAACTTTTTTTAATATCTAACATTAGGTTTTGAACTAGGACCAAAGCTGAGAATATTTTTTATCGTTTTACTGTAAATCATAGAATCATAGAATCTTAGGGGCTGGAAGGGACCTTGAAAGATCATCCAGTCCAACTCCCCTGCCAGAGCAGGGAACTGTCTGTTGTCCTGCTCTGTAGCCCAAAATGGGACTCTAATCTCCCTTGTGGAATATGACAGCTTCACACCATTCTCAGACTATTGAAGATTTTATTATTCAGTGGGAAATCTTAGCCCATTATGAACTTTCATAAATAATTCATGTTAAGTTACAATTGTTAAATATTCTTTGTACTTCAGGAGTATTGCTACTTTGTTGGTTCCTGTGATGGACATGAATTCTGAATAGCTGAAGTTCAAACTAATACAATCTTAAAAATTACTGGAAGCTCTTTAGAAATCCCATCCTTGTTGTGTAGTCTTCCAGCTACAAGGCAGGGTCAGGAACCACTTTTAACCCATAATGTGAATATGGTGACAAGGCCAAAAGATAACCTTGGAGGTGAGGTGTGTGTGTGTTTATTGGCTTCTCCTTACCACAAGCATGTATGTTACATGTGATTTCCATACTCCTCTACTCTAAGCTCTGTCAACAGTATTTGTCTTAAGAGCCTGTCATGCTTACACATCTTCTGCCCTGTAGAGTGGCCTTTCCTTTTAGTTCTTTGTTGAACTCATCTGTAATGCTAAGATGATCTGTTTTTTCAGAAGCATTGCCAAAACAGCAAAGAAACAGACCTCTTACTAATGGTGAGGCTAAGAGAAATTAGAACTTGGAAACTCCAAAACTCATGTTTAAAAGAACCTGCATCTGAGTTACAGTGGCTTAGCAAGTCACTATCAGCTGAGCAGTAGTAGTGACCATGTTTTTGCTCTCAGATCCCAGTCGTCTGCATCTACTTAATTACAAGGAAAAATACAGTAATTTGGTATCTTTTTAGTGTAGTCAAACTAAGTGTTTTTACTTTGCAGTTGAGGTGGTGTTATTGCATTTAAAATATATGATAGTTTACTGTAGGATAGCATATCTGTTACAGTATCTTCCACTGTATTTTACAGCTTCTCAGTTTCATTATAGATTTTGAGCATTTTAAATTGTCACCAGAGAATAGGTTTATTTTGAAGAGCTGAAAATTGCCACATAGGGTGAATCAGGCCTAGATATTCCAAATAATCAAAATAAAACAAAAGAGCAACACAAAAGGATTTTTGTTTACTTAAAAGAAGGTGTAAATATTCACTCTACCACTTACAAAAGTTAAAGATGAGTTGTTTTGACATGCTTACATATATGAAACTAATTGTCATTATATGAAAAAAAAAGAACAAAGAAATAGCAAAAAAATTACATTTTGACTCTAGAAATGTGAGCAAGAATTAAGATATGCAATTAGGTAATCAACTAAGGAACACATTTTCTACAGCATCCCGTATTTTTCCTTTTCCCTGTTAAATTTGCCCTTTAGTATGATTTTTCTGTATTCCTTGAGAATTGTTACCAATTTCGTTACTGATACGAATGTTTTCTGTTTTGGTAGATTGCCCTGTATATTTGGCAGAAAGGGGAAGGACCCCATCTTACTCCAGTGCCTGAGTTCTGCACAGATGATGTGAGCTCCTATAAGGTTGATCATTGTGCAACAACATTCAGTAATTTTCTGCCACTTTGTGTAAGTGCTGAATTTTAAATTCCACTTACTAAAAGGTGAAACTCTTATTAAAATGCAATGTACTTGACCTTAAAAATCTCAAACTTTAAGAAAATATTTTTCAGTAAGATAAAAAAGGAAAAGTTTTTTCTGGTATTTATTGATTTTTAGATAAGCTTTTAGCCTTCCATAGCACAGGATATTTCCTGGCAAACAAATATTACGTATGCTTTAATTGGTCTTTCTACCACAATGTTTGAGCAGCCCATGATCTAGAAAGTATTTCTCCTTAGATTTCTTTGAGCTAATGAGGTATAGATAATCTTTTTTCACAGATGGGAATCTAAAAAATTTAGAGGCTAAAAATGAAAATATAGTATTTGATGCATTTATGTATAACCCGTTTCTTGTTCCTCTAGAATAATACACTTATGATATTATGGGTTAACTGTGTCTGGAGTCCAAAAGGTGTTCCAAACTTCCAGGAGAGCAAACTTCTAGATGCCGAAAAAGAAAGGTTAAATTATTTTACAGCTTGAGAAAATGCAAAGATTTCTTATGTGTAGTGTTTAAGCTTCTTTTTCCAAGTATAATACAGTTCAACATGTTCTCACAGTGACTAATTTCAAATAAATTAAGAAAACATTCTTTTTCAGATTAATCATTCTTAGTTCAAGAAGTTCTACTAGCCATTCTCTTTTCCTAATGATATGTATTTTAATTCATGTTAGAATACTACCTCAATGGAAAAAGTATTTCAGGAACGTTATCTCAGGAATTTTAAACCACTAGTGACCTTTTTTTTTTTCCAAAAGACAAAAATGTACTTTCTACTGTGTTACTTGTACACTCTCCTTGATGTGCTGTACAATGAAAAGGTATTTTCTGTTTTATTATTTGCGTGGACATACATATCCTATAAAATGTTACAGGCAGAGCCTGCAATTACAAAATTCTTTTTTGTTTTGTTCATACAGGGAGAGCCAGTGAAAAAGGAAGATGTCTTTGTTGCTGTAAAAACATGTCAGAAATTTCATGGAGACAGAAGTAAGTTGTCTGTTAGTCAAGGTAGTAATTCCATGCAATATAGTTTATTAAATTAATAGTTTAAATATAAGCTGATATACCCTGTCTGTGTAGCTCTTGGGACTAAATGTTTGTAAAATCCACTGGAAAAAGTGAAAGCTTTAGAATTTAAACAGCTTGTTCTTTAGGTAGGATTTTTTTTGCTATTCAGAGTTCTTCAGGAGTGCTGTGAAATGTTTAAAATGAAAAGTTGTGGTCATTTTATGTTTTCATGATGGTGACTGCTTGGCAAAAATCTTGAAATTTAATGAGAGTATGCATAAAAGTTAGCTTGTAGTATTGTAAATTGGAGTTGTTGCAATATTAATATAGCAGCTTTCAGTATCCTTCAGCATGGCAGTTGTGCAGCTGTATGGTGGCTGATTTAGAAATGGAAGAAGCTGAAAGGTCTCTCCCTTCCTCCTTCCTTTTGTGCTGCCCTCCCCTGCCATGAAAGATTGAGCTGTTGTCACCCTATGCAATTGGATGTGCACCAGTGTTTTATAATGCTTGGAATGGGAAATTTGGTCTCTGTGCCAACACTATACTGTGTTTTGTCTGGAAATAGTACTGTTATGCATGTACTGATGGTCACCATGAAAATATGAGTATCATACCCATGGTAAAATAACAAGCAAAAAAACCTAGCACAGCCCAACAGGGTATGTCTAGTGGGTATTAACTTCCATCTCAGAGGGACAGAAAATGAAGACAGAGACACTCAGCTTCAGCTAATACAGACTCAGGCTCAGCTAAGTAGAGGCAGATCCAATGGCTACAGAACTTGGAAGGAAAAATTCTAAATCCACTGATTTAAGAGAGGATGCTCTACCTGCTTGATGCCACCTACCAGTTCATTCTGGTTTACTTATAGTTGTTTTGTTAATAAAGAAATTCAGGAATGGATTATTTCCAGGAATTTACTTGAGTTTTATTAAATACTCCAGGCTTAGTTTGTTCATTAATTAATTTAAGGTGATTATTATTCGCCAAAAAAAATGGAAGATTAAGTAATGGCTAATAGCTGTACCAATTTTTTTGGCAGTTTTGCCACATCTATTGTCAGAGGACAGGATGAAGAAGAAAGCTGTTTTTTTAACTAAGTCCCTCTTTGCTTATGCATAAAAAACTGTAGGTTCTGTTACTTGTAATTTAGACAATTTGCCAGTTTCTCATTTTTTTCTTCAAAATAAGATGTATGGGGTTTTTTTAATGTTACTGCACTTGATGAAAGCATATTTCTAAGCATTTTAATCACCTAATTATTAGGCTGTTTTTAATCATTAGGCTAGCTTTAGACAAAACAAAATTGACTGTCCTGTAATTGGAGTTCACTGAAGAGTTCTCCTTACTGGATCCATGTTTATTTCTTTATATCAAAATTAAAACAAAGAAAAAAAAAAACCAACAAAACATAAGCCTGGAAAGTCAGAAACAAATATAAAGCTTCAAAAAGATAATGTAAACATCCTTCAAGAGGCATCTGTTGAAGACTGAGGAAAATTCTTGAACTTTCCTCACAGCTTCCAGTATTATGCAATAGAGGATAATCTTACTCAAGATTTTGAAAGATTAGTGGATACCAGCTTCAGAGAGCTCCTTTTACCTGGTAAGTCATTTTTTTATTGTCTGCCAAGAACTACATTACTGCAACAGTAAGTCTTGGAATTCAATGTGCAAAAACAGCTAAATTTTGCCTCAGAATTTAGTTCAGGTACAACACAGATACTGTGTATGGTTAGATAAGAAACTTTCAGGACTGCAAACATGCATCAAGATGTTACGGTTTGACTCAGGGTTGGCAATTAAACCAATGACAATAATGCTTTTGATCCTCTGCCAGGGGTTGGACTAGATGATCTCTCGAGGTCCCTTCCAGCCCCTAAGATTCTATGATTCTATGAAAGGCTTCCAGGTTGAAAACTAAGCTAGACAGTTTTAATTAAATACTAATGATAAAAATAAATATGTACAAATATACACAAGTATATGCAGGAATGTGCAAACCCCCTATCACTTCTCCCCACCCTCAGCATCTCCCTCCGCATCTCCTGAGCTGTGAGCAGTTCTGAAATGTCCTGGAGCTGCCAGAGAGAGGGCAGAGCAAACAGGAGCTGAGGGGAGAGTGATGAGGGTCAGGAATGCACGAGCCATTGTTATCAGTCCGCTAGATGGAAAACTTGCTGTTAGTTTCAGCAAGTGTGCTGCTTGAAAGAGAGTTCTCTGAAGAAAAAAACCAATAAAAAGAAAACTAGCTTCATCCTGGCTTCAAACCAAGACACAAGGTTCTAGAATTAGCACGAATAAAATATTAAGATCTTAGAGCTGACCTTCTATAAGTACCTTTGTAGTGCAGTATTACAACTTTGGAGTGATCACAAGTATTAATACATACTGATAAATATTTGCACAGTCAGAAATTTCAAATAGGTCTTTCAATGGAACGTAGAAATTACAAAGTATTTTGGGATTCAGTTTACAGTAGACATTAGTCTGGAAGGTGACACTTCCATCAAAACAAGCAAGGCAAAGAGAGAGATGCTTTTAGCTTGTAGCCTCCACATTAGACCAATTATCTGAGATAAGACTCAGGTCCTTGCTTTGGTGAGCTTTGTTCATTTATACAAAAAAGAAGAGGCTCCACTGAAGATATTGGGAGGCATAGACCATAAGAGAAAATAGTTCTGTATGCTGAAACACCACACTTAGGTTGAGATCCTTGATTGGAAACAGCCTTTATGGGTATGTCTCTTCTGCCAGATGAAGGTTGGAAGCATTTTGTAGATCTGTGACCTTTCTGTATTGGGGCCTTTCTGGAAGATTTCTGATTTTGTTTTTCCAATAACCAGTTTTTAAATAGAACATTTCCACAGAATAATAGCCCTAATAATTTCCTACCTACTTCATTTTTCTGTTTGGGAAAACAAAAAGGTTTACATGGCATTCTCTGTCAGTTAATGCATGGTTATGCAGTTGTTGTATGATGTAATGTGACTTTAGGACCTAAGAGATAGTGTTAATGTATTGTGAAATTCCTAGCTTTGCATTTCAAAACTCCACTGCCATGTTCTATGAACATATTTTTTGTACAAAATTCCCTTTGTATTTTTTAATACAAAAGTTTGAGAACAGTTTCAAGTGTCTTAAAACTTTTGAAAGCAGTATTGTCCATTGCACAATTATATTATTTCCAAATATTAAAACCTTTCTATTAGTGCATTAAGTTTTTGCTAGTCTATGCTATCAGTCACTTTTCAATTCATTTTAGTCTTACCAAACTAACTATTTGTCAGTCAAGAATAATAAATCCTACAAATCTCTCTGTGATCAGAGCAGAGGAAAGTGAGCAAGTATGTTCCTAGCAAACATCAAATTAGGTGATGGATGATTCCAGCATGGAGCTAAAATGAGTTGTTCACCAGTACAGAGTAATATAGCAAAAATGGGAAGTTGTGTAAATATTTCCTACATTTAAAGAGCTGGCTGCTACTAGTAAGACCTGCTGGGTGGTATCAAAGAACATAAAGTGTACAAACAGTGACAGCAGAATGCACAGTGTTTCAGAGCAGTTGTTCAAGAGGTAATGGACACAAACTTGAAAATAGGAAGTTCCTTCTAAACATGAGGAGGAACTTAGTACTTTAGGGTGACAGAGCACTGGAGCAGGTTGCCCAGAGAGGTTGTGGAGTCTCCATCCTTGGAGACACTCAAAACCCACCTGGATACCATCCTGTGCAATCTGCTCTAGGTGATCCTGCCCTGGTAGGGGGGTTGCACTGGATGATCTTCAGAGGTCCCTTCCAACCCCTAACATTCTGTGATTCTGTGGTTCATCTAAGTCCTGATCGTTTAATTTTTAAATGGGAAAAAGCCCAACATTTCTTTTAATCTGATCATTTTCTTCCAAACACCCTGAAGGCATTCAGCCTTTTTTTTTTGTGTGTTGCCCATGATTTATTCACTTCTGGATATAATTTAAACATTTGTAGCATCATTGTTAGAACTTTGTACGCTTAAATTAAATTTTTATGTCAAACGACAACTAATAAGAAAAGGATTGCTCCTGTAGAGTAGCATTAAGCAGTCCTCCTTTGAAAAGAATCTTCATGGAATAAAAACTGGTTGTATGGTATTTATAAATGTCCTTCTATTAGTATGTCTCCAGAGACAGGTGCCCTTGAGCATTAACATGATGTTGCTGTCAGATACGATGTATATACACAAGTATAGTAATTCAAAAGGTACATTTGGTCTGTTTCTGAATCAAAATCTTTTACCTGCTGTACAGTTGGATGTGCTGGTTTTAAAATGTGGCAGTTTCAATACAGGAAGAATGATTGATCTCTGACAGTGTTCATGCTGATGTGTGCTATACAATTTGCCACTGCAAGTGTAGAAGTAATGAATTCCATATGTGGGTTAGCAGAAATATAAACATCACAGTTTTCTATGTATTATGTATGAAACTATAGTAATATTTTAAAATAAAATTTATTACTCTATAAATAAAACTGCCCTGACTGGCTTTCCTAAAAATGTAAAATGCTGTCTCTCTAAATATTGTAAGAAAGAAAAAAGAATTAACATCTAGAACCACAATGCTGTATTTGAAACAGCCTTTTCATTAGCATGAAAAGAAATACGTCAGTTAACAATGTGCATAAACATTTTGATCAAGTGCATGTTTTAATCATGTTACTTACGTTTCAATGTCAATTATTGTTTTGCAGTACCAGTGGTAAAGCAGACTTGGGAAAGGGAAGCTGCCCTTATTGAATACTACAGTGATTATGCAGACAACTCCATTCCTACTATAGATTTAGGCATACCTAATACTGACAGAGGTGAGCTGTTAACTGTTGTTGTCAGTTTTGTGCAAATAATTGTCTAAAGATGGTAAGTTTTATGGATTATATGTATAGCTTATAATTTAGAAATTCTATATTTCTATGGCAGGTTTGTACAGCCTAAAGTAAACAAATGCTTTTTCCACACAGGAAATGGAGAGGACAGTTCACCTGCTTAGGTAGAATGTTCTTTTTAGTAGAAATCTAGATATTGTGAGTATGAAAGCTTGGTACACTGATATACTTGAGGAGCCCAAAATTGGTGTTATTAGTCTGGATAAGAATAATAACTCTTTTGAGTTACTGGTGTTCTTGAGTAAGATCATCAGTGATAGCAGAAGTCATAGATCTATGTCAGAAGTCCTCAGGCAGTGCCAGCTGGTTACTGAGCATAAACTACTTGCCATATGGTACTCAAATATTGTATGCTTCTGCCTGGTATGTCTTGATTTAAGCACAAAAACTGAATGTTAAGATTGGAAGGTATTTTTATGAAAAATAGTGTGGTTTTAAAGTAGTTTACTTTGTGTTTGAATAGAAAAAAGGATATGAATTTGATGGCTTCCATAAGTTTACTAGTTTTAGGGCTTTTTCTTTAATTTGATCTATTGTTCTTAGGCTTATAGTCTCTTCTACAGGCTGTTACCTTCTGAATTAGAGCTGTCCAAGCTGTGACCTGTTAGCCTTCTCTGGTCCACCAGGTTAATTGTTCTGATCGCTGGCTTATTTTCAGCTGCCCTCTTTTGTCCTCCATGAGGTCTGTTAGAGGCAGAGAGGGAAAGGGTAGGGATTTCCATTTGCAGAGGTGCAGTGACATGAGCCTCCAGTGAGTGTTTTTTCAGGAAGCAGCAGACTTTCTGGGCAAGGGTGGATCTCCTGCCCAGCAGTTCTAGTCACACCAGGGGAAAAGACCTTTCAGGTTTAGCCTTTGAGCATTCCTGGGGTGAGCAGTGATACCTGTGGGCCACTGGCATGCTAAACAAAACAAATTGTTCTGAGTTTACTCTGATAGTATTGTTTTTTACATCTTTTGTCATGGAGTATGATAAAGGTTTTGATTTTGTTAATGTCTGCATATCAGTCTGTGTTAATTTCATGGTTTCACAAAATCAGCAAAGCTAGGACTTCATTTCTTAATCTGAGAGTTACTGCATTTTCACAAGAAATATTTTAACTGGAAGGAGCTTCAAATATATTATCCTTATTTTTAAATGCTTGTTTATTAATTGTAATAATGATAGCACTAATTACTTTAGACAATCATCAGTAATCTAGATAATTAAAGAGTGTTTGCAGTTAGATTTTTCCAAGAACGAAACAAAGCTCCAGTACCAGAATTCAGAACAGTTCTCCAAGTCTGAAACTTCCTGTTTCTCTTGTCCTGCTTGTTTTCTACATGGGTGTTACACTTCTCAACTCCTAGTAAAGGGTGTTTCAACTCTCAACTTTGTTACAGTCTTGTAGTAAGTGTTAAGACCTTTCCTCGGACGAAGTCATTAGGACCTGAGTTGCTGGTTATGAGTGTGGTAGATTAATGTAGACTTAAATATTTACAGGCAAGTGGTGGACCTGCCTGGTGTGTCATGAAATACTAGGAAGATACCTTTGTGTATTTTGCAGAACACATTTCTATCATAGTCTCCTCCTTTCACAGGTCTGAAAATTAAGAATAGCAGTTTGCCAAGTATTGTCCAGCAGCATATTAGGATAGCTAGAATAGAGCTTCTTTTTTTAAGGTTTCCATAATTCAAAGAATTTCCATACTTCAGCATTCTTCAAAAGTCACTTCCTGCATAGAAAACAATAATTATATTGGAACTATTTGTACAAATACCAAATACCAGAGATATGAAGGAATTTACATCTCAAATATTGTACCAGTCATTTAAAAAATGTTTTGCATAGTGCTATAAACTAATTATTTAATTAATGAATTATTGTTTATTCAAAAATCTCATTTTATTTAAATGTGCATATTATGTTACTTTGCTTCCTTTAGGTCACTGTGGGAAAACTTTTGCCATTTTGGAAAGGTTTTTGAATTATAGCTCTCCCAGGACTCCTTGGCTAGTCATAGTGGATGATGACACACTGATAAGGTACATTGTAATGTGTCAGTGTTACTACTGCTCGTGTCAATTACATCTTTAGCAATATTCATCTCTTCTTCTGTATTTAAGAGGTGCAGATACTTTGTTAAGGTAGATTTCTATTCCTTCAAGGAGAGTATTGTCACTTTCCTTCAGCGTTCATTGTCTGATATTAAAAACAAGGTAATCTTGTAACTTGATAAAAACTATGCATACTAGCACTTGGGGATTCTTCAGTGCAGGCATGTCTGAACTAATTGGTTTTAGTCATTTGCTGGTACACTTTCCAAGATGTATTCCTCACATAATTGCCAGAAGAAAGGTTTTGTAAGTTAGGGTCAACTGTCAAAGCCACCCAGAATGTTGTCCAGGGACTTGCCCTTGTTAGAAAGTTGGATCCCATTCAGTGAAAACTGGCACTAGGATATAAGTGAAAAAAGGCACAGTGACCAGCCAGCAGGGTCACATGGTTGTGACCATGAGAGTAAGTGGTTCAAGATTATGCTTTACATTCAATGGTGCAACAGAAGAGGAGTTTGGAAGAGGCTATAAGACTCAGTTTTGTTGAGAAACTTTGCTTCCTTATTCAGAAAAATATTTTTAAGATAATTGATTCTTCATTTGATCAAAATCAGCAATCATGTAGTAAATAACTCATCACAAATTTGTGTAAAAGTCTGTATCTCTGTTTTTTGTAGAATTTCTGAAGTTCTCCTGTCATTTTTGTCTTGTTTACTAGAATGCCGTTTACACTTGGAATGTCTTTAAAATTAATGTCTACATTATTTGATTTGATTTTTTTTGTAATGGATTTTCATATGATAGTATCTTCAGGCTCCGAAAATTGCTGAGCTGCTACGACCCAAATGAACCAGTGTTTCTTGGAGAGCGTTACGGTTACGGCTTGGGAACAGGAGGATATAGTTATATCACTGGTGGTGGAGGGTAATTTATTTAAATTCCTACTGACATCTACATGAGTCCGTGCTTTGAATGCAAATGTTTTGAATTACAACACAAATCAGTTGCAACAGAAAAAGTGATGCTTTCTGGTACAATTAGAATGTGATGATGTTCAAAGACCTGAGCGTCCTAACTAGTAAGAAGCTTTGCTGCCAAATAGGAACAAATTTTTAGAGCAAATCTGAGGTGCTGAAGACCATGCATGTTTCAGGAAGGGGTCGCTCCAGCATGACTGGTCCTGGGAACTGAGTGCCTGTCATCACTTACCTGCACCACGTGTCCTGATACCTATCACATTCTGCATCCTCCGAGACCATCTTACAGTATGATTCAAAGTGTAGTAAGCCGAGCCAATGGGGGTAGTTGCTTTAGAAAGTACACTAGTGATCTCAGCTGTTGTGGAGTTTGCAGGAGAACCCAAAGCAGCACACCTAGGGCTACAAAGTGCCACAGTGAGAATATTCTTTCCTGTTTTCTTTCTTGGTCCAAGCATGAAGAAAAATGATACTGATTCTCCTTTGGTTCTTGAACTTTATGCTGTGATTTATCGAGAGGTGGCTGAGCAAAGAGTTTGATGTTGATGTCCTGGAAAATAGTTTCTCATAGAAAGAGGTCATTGTGGGTTGATCTCATGCATAAGACACAGAGGTCCCTGTGACTGTGTGCAAAATTTGGCTTAAATAATATGTGTATGGACTTTCAGGTTGTCTAATATTGCAGTAAGACTGATCTGTCCATCTTGTGTGTCTACAGCAAGTAGTGTGGATGTCTGAATGTTCTTAGTGTCTTTCTCAGTGAAAAATAATGGTTCTGATAAGCTACTGGAATCTTACCCATCCATGAGTAAGGAAGAATCAGCTGACTGGCCTTCTTTTTGTTTTGCAGAGTTGCCTAAAATCTTACTTAAGTAGGGCTTATGCTTGAGTTAAGAAATAAACATTCTGCTGGTGCTGGTATGTTTGTTGGTTACCAGTCCTGTACTTCTATATCATTTTAGTGTTTATCTCTTAGTGTCTCTTTTGTCATCTAGTTATGGGTTATTTTCATTCTCCTCTTTGAGCACATAAGGGCACAGATCATCCATCATGCTTCATACTCTTATTTTGAGGTTTGTTGTAACTTATAAATTCCATATAACAGTCCAGATAGTCAACTAGCAAGTGTATTCACCAAATGTGTGCAATTTAGGTCACACATTCTGTGTGGCAGCACATGCTGGGCACAACTCCCAGCTCTTTTTCTTTTCTCCTTTTTTCTTTTCTTTTCCCTTTTTAATATTTTTTCTATTTTCTTTTTTTTTTTTTTTTTCACCCCCCCTAAGGCTCTAGCTTATTATTCCTTCTCTGTTTGATATGAGTACTGAGATACTACTTCCTATTGTGCTCTACTGTTTTTTTTCTCTTTATGATACATTCAGTCTTCAAAGTTGCAATGATAATGATGGAGTCTTTTACAACTTCAGTCTGACAGTATTTTCAGGTCAGTCTTTGCCTTAGCATTCAGTTTTGGTAGAAGTTTTGCTGTGTCCCAGTGCTAAGCAAAGGATTTGTCTTACAGGGAATGAACTCATGAAATCATGCAGAGATTTCAAAATGTGAATCTCTTTACTTGTGTATCTAGAGCAACCTGTGTTCTGATCAGACTGGGTAGATTATGATACTTTAGAAAAGGCAGCTATGCAATGCTACACAAGAGAATATGCCCTTAGCTGTTGAATTGAAGGTATCATCATATTTCTGGTCTATTGAAGGCTTATTTTAGTGATAATGATCTTACAGCTCCAAGCTCTGGTTGAAATTTAGATGAGCAAGAAAATTAGGATGAAAAGAAGAGCCTTGCAATGGCCTCAAGGAACATTTTGCACTTACGGAGAGAACTCTAAAACTGAGGATTCAAGAAATGACAGTTCAGGTTTAGAATTCTTTTCATTTAATTGGCACATGGTAATATCTGGACAATACATTTGAGTAAGATAGGGTAGAATATCCCAGCCAAATTTAGGAGGATTTATCAGCTGTGGTAAAAATGGTGGCTAGTAAAGTAATTGTTGGAATAAAATCAACTGGCATAATTGATATAATTAATTTTAATTATATAAAGTAATTCTCTTTCATTTTGTCTAGCAGTTTTTGTCATTTAGCAATATTTATTTATTACAGTCATTTGGTTTCTCTTGTAGATACTGTCTTACACATTTTGTTTGCTTTTTTTTTAATTCAGGATGGTTTTCAGCAGAGTAGCTGTTGAGAAACTACTTGCTAGTAAATGCCGGTGTTACAGCATGGATGCCCCTGATGATATGGTGCTTGGGATGTGCTTCAGTGGCTTAGGAATCCCAATAACACACAGTCCACTTTTCCATCAGGTCAGAGAGTTATTTTTACTAGTATTTAAAATATATTTAATCCTTTTCAGTATACACATAAAGCAGAACTCACAAATACTGCAAACTCCAATAATGTTTAATAGTGGTAGCTGAGATGATGCTGCTGTGCCTTATTTCTCTCCAGAACAAGTTTTATCAAGCAAATAAGAATATTATCAAACCATTAATTACTACAATGCTTTAATAGTTTATAAGAGACTTTAGTTACCCTGTGACTACATTTTATAAAAAATGCAGTCAGTGGTGAGATCTTTGAAAAACAAGTAGAACTAGGAGCCACATGCTTTGACTACTTGTGAAATGTCCTCTGAGAAAAAAATGACACACCACAATACTTTTTTCTTCAGGTGGTGGAGAGCTGACTGTGGAGTGAGTTTTTCAGTAAATTGTCTTCTCTACCTATCCAAGTTTTCTGCTGATTCAGTGTTTACTATTCTGAAATATCCCATTAATAAAGATAAAAAATGTAAAAGTATTCCCAGAATGTTGCTTTTGAGGTGGATTCTGAAGAATGGTATAAATATGATCAATTGCCCTACGCTAGTCCAAGGGGAAAAAGAGGTCACAAAACATCATTTTTTGTGAATATATTCTCCAGTCTGAGAGAAGTGGGTTGGAATAGATTTGAATCTTGTTTCTGTCTTCCAGAATATTTATCAATTCAACTGTGGTGTCACAGTGGAAAACACGATGCTTTGAATCCCAGAGATTTGCTGCCTTGTAAACCAAATAAACACTTTACCTTCCTCTCATGGCATTGAAGAGAAGCAGCACTTAGAATTTTTCCCAAGCAGTGCACAACTGTTTTAAAAATCAGCATATAAATTAGTGTAGTGTTCAACGTTAAACTGTTAATCTAGCTTAAAAACTGGGAAGACCTGTGTAGTTGATAGGAACTGAGATTAAGATAATAGGCTATTTGAAAAGAAATAAATAACCATGTAATTCAAGCAGCTGTCAAGGGGGAGTTTGCTATTTAAATTTAAAGTTTTCCCTCTGTTAAGGTTTTCTCCCAGATTACATTTACTGTTTAGAGAAATGGGAAGACTGGAATGCACTGTTTGGTATTGTAATTCCTTCTCCATATAAGAAAACCGTATCTGCTTTACTTTCCTGCTTTATTTATCATCACTTACTCCTTTCAGTATAGAAAGAAAACAAGTAAGGCATCTTAAAAAATCAACACAATTATTGAATAATTTGTGCTTGCACACGTTTTTTAAAAAATAAAACCCACCTAATTAGAGTCAGAAAAAGCAGAACACATTTTACAGATTTGTAGGAATGGCCAAAACATTTTCTTATAATCCCTAATGTTGTGCATTTGATTCTGAATCACTTCGAATGTGAAATGCTGGCAGTTTGGTTTTCCACATAGAAAATTACACTTGAATCATAATTCATCTGCACTGTCACTTATAACAAATTCTAATTTTAACATACCTTGAACTAAAACTAATCCTGAGGGGAAGACTACTGAATAAAAACTGAATGTGCTTATTCTATGAATTCCACTATTATGCAACAAATAGTTTTAAAATGAGAAAACCAAAATTGGATTATCTGTCAACCAGAAAATTGTTTAAAAGACTTGACTGAAATATTATGATGTACAATGTTCCTTAAAGTACATGACTCCAAATTTGTACTGAGTGTATATTATGAGACAGAAACAAAGAGATGTTCATCCTTAGAGTGTCTGTAAGGTAACAAGCCTTGCTCTTTCTTAATCATTTCCCGTTGTCTACATCCTAGAGTAGGCACGTTTTGTAACCTGTTCCAGAGGCTTCTGATGTGATCAGGCTTTTTAGGAGAATGGAAATCTTCCGTGTTGAGTGACAGTCAGGATTGTGGTTTAAAATATAAAATCTGGGCAATAGCAATGTACTGTCTTTTTGTAAAATACCAAATACAAATTCTAGCACCAGAAAAACAAAACAAAAACAAAAACCAAACAAAAAAAACCCAACACCCAAAGGTTACCGTGGTTGATTCCACAAAATACAAATAAGAAGTTGCTCCGGGAATTTGTATTTTAAGTTCAACTGGCTATAAGGGGGTATGATTCTCAGAGAGCAATGTAATAAATGCTATAGTTATCAGAGCAAATCTCATTCTTTCAGTATTATCAAAACACAACCATTTTGTCTGTAGCTCAATAAAAAGGATTGATTTTCAAACAGCAAAGAACTTTGCCCTCAGATACCTAAAAATTGTCTCTGTCTGAAGTAAATTGCTTTAAATTCTTCAGGCTTTTGAAACCAACCTTCTCTGTAGTTTAAATATCAGTATTTAAAATATATATATATATATTCAGATTTCTTACTGTCAAATCCTGTTGCCTGATTTTACAGCTGGAGTGTATACAGAATTGCGTGAAGAACACATAGTTAGGATTCATGAATAGCCCCAGAAGTAGGTGAAGTCTGCAGTGTTAAATCAGTTACTGGCTCAGGCATCAAGTCAGTCATTCAGTATCCAAATCACTTCATTTTCTTCTTGTGTTTTACATCTAGAAAAAAACAAATGTGAGCCTTTCATGCATTTCTCTTTATAAAAACTCTGTTTACAATGGCAAAATCTAGTTATTTTACCAGGGACCTCTGCAGGTGGGACTTCTTTATAATGATGCACTTAGATGCCATTAAACTGCCAGAGGAAATGAAACATGCTTGGTGCATTCAGAAGGCAGCTGCATCACGTGGCTGTGTTGCAGTTCTGTCTCCTTTGATGTAACCCCAGAAAGAACAGCAGTGCAGTTTTCTGGCACCACAGTGTTTCCTGTGTTTGGTAACCATTCCTTATAAAACGTCATATATTTTGGCTGCTTATGGCCTTATTGGGGAATCCTACAGTCACACTGGCAGTGCTAGCAACTCCGATTAAGAGAATTAGGCAAGAGAGTATTACTTTAAATAATTTTGTCTTTATTGAACCCAAACTGTATATTTAAAAAGATGGAATACAAACAACACTGTTTATCACTTGCTTTCATAGGTGGTGACCATTTCACCCTGAGAAACAGGGCACATTCAGTATCAGTGTACTTCATACCATGATGCCTGAAGCATGAGTTGCAGATCTGAACTAGTGCCTATCAATTGATTCAACAGAATGATGTAAAAACCCTTTTTTACCATGTTGTATGTTTTGTCAGTGCCACGTGGCTTTGTTATGACACAGAGGCCAGTGAATGGAGATACTTTGTTGTTCTGAAAATATCTTTCATCATGAAGTAACAGTGATTTTGGTTTATTCTTCCATCTTAGGCACGGCCAATGGACTACCCAAAAGACTACCTTTCTCACCAAATTCCAATATCATTCCACAAGCATTGGAATATTGATCCAGTGAAGGTGTATTTCACATGGCTGGCACCAAACACAGAAGAGTCATTTAATGGAAAGAAAGTTGGATATAACAGGGAGGATTTATAAACAGCAGAAGACCAGAAGTGTTGATGAATGTATCTCAGAAGAGAGACAGTCACTACTGTGATTTTTGTTCGGTTCTCACTTTGTTCATCTGTTCATGACATAGAAGCCACTGTTTTGTTCCTGCTTGTTACATTCTTTCAGAGCAAGGGAAGAAGGCAAAAAGTTGGGCTTTTTGATTCTTTGTTACACTTGGTTTCTTTCTGAAAGTTTTGGGAGCTTTTGTATGCTAATGAACTTGACACACCATTTATGTTTGATTCAGCTTGGTCTGTGTTCTGGTTTGGACTTTGAGTCAGACAGTACCCATTTACATCTCTCCTTTGTTCTCTCAGAAGCTGAAGTGAGGTATTTGGGAGCCTAATGCTGAACATGTGTTGACTGTTTATTGAACTTATCTGTCATTGATCTACAGAAAACAGGTCCCTGTTCTGGAACAGGTTCTTGATAAAGCAGAGAGGAGGCTGTGACCAGGAGCTAGATTGCGTGAGGGCTACATTCTTTTCCCCTCATCTCAAATAGAAATGTTGTACTTCCCTGGGCTGGGTGGACCAATCTGTGAACCACTGTTGTACCTTCAAGTTTATTAGCATTTTTGAGGAATGTCGTGTTCAAAATCGAAGGAAAAGGTTAAGAACAGGGATTTCTTAAGCGGCCACGGGAGGTCACTGTGGCTCCATGAGAAACGCAAATCACTGTGTATCTATTTGGCAAGTATAAATGTAACTCTTAAAGATTTTTGCAGAACTAACACTTCAGTATTTCTGATGTGTGTATTCCAATAGTATATGGCTGCCAGCTTTAATATTCTGTAGTATTCCTAATTTATATCAAGATAAGCAATTTTAAGCATACATGGAAAGAGGGATTCATTTTTTAAAAGATCTCAATTCTTTGAGTAATTCAGTTTTGTAAAAAAGTTTGTATAAAAACTAGCTCTAATATGTTCTGAACTAATTTTTATACTGTAAAACAGCTCCTTTTAAGATGACAGTATATGGCACTTGTATGCTGTTATTTAACTTTGCTTGCTATATTGTAACCAAATACAGGGTTTTTAAGCCATATTGCTGAAGTAATTTGTGTGTTGTTTTCCTGTAGTAGGTTAAAAATTGATTCCACTCCAAAGTAATGCAGTACTAGTCAAAGTAGGAGAACCACTGACTGCTGTTTCAGAAATTACTGAAGTTGTATAAAAATTTGTTTGTGGATGTAGCTTTTAAGCATTTGGCTAGCAAGCATCTATTCATAATAGATTCAAGTTCTGATTAAACAGGAGCAACCCATATCATATGTTTTTTTCTTCCCACTATCAGTGCCTTGAACCGTAGACATTTTACTGATACCAGGGGTATGTCCTCTGGTATGATGGGTGAATTGTTAATTATGTTTACTGTTTAGAACTGTGAGAGCTGAAAACTGAATAAAAGCTTTCTCCTTTTAACATTTTATGCTTTCTTTCTCTTTGCAAACTGAGTTCAGGATTATTTAAGCACCTCTGTCATATCATTTTATCACCTGAAGAGTATGTTCAGTTGTACTAAAAGGCAGCTTCAGGTTTGGAGATTTTTACATATTCTGCCCTGACATGCTTCCCCATTTAGGCTAATTTTCAAGTCCCTAGTTCAGACAAAAAAAATGCTTTTGCAATGAGCACCTTGTGTTTGGGAATCTTGATGCTATCACAAAATATACGTCAGTATCAAATTCTCCAAAGGTCTTGCAACATAGCCCAATCACTTCTAACTTCAAACTAGTGGTATTTCATGTCTCCCTGGGCCCTGTGGAGGCAGAACAGGTCAGGGAAAAAAAAAAAAGAGCTTTCACTTCTGGTAATAGGGGCTGTCTTTTCTCTTGCTGTTAGCTCTGGGTTTTGCTGCAAGGATTCTGGAGGTGTTAGCAAGCATTAGACTTCTGATTCCCATCTTCATAGTGTTGAAAGCAATTAAGTAATAATTTACCAAACTGTTCTGCCCCTCTGGATACATAAGGGATGATATGCAACTCTTGAAGCAGCATGACAGAAGTGACCTTTTATTCCTAAAATACTAGGAATTAAAATATTTAGGAAACTAAAAAAACTCAAAGAAAGGAAGAATTGGTTTGGAAGGCAGGCTATGGAGAGGACTGATAGGAAATTATATCAATGGAGTATCATAAAACATTATTGATGAAAACTGTAGGCATGCTGCTTTGTAAACTATAAAAAGAAATAATAAAATCTGAGCTATTCCTGTGAGAAATACATTTTTAAAGCAATGTTTTTATAAGTCTGAAGGCTGAAGATCCTAGCTCTTACACAGAGCACCTCCAGAAAAGTAAAAAGCAGTAGGTTGTTAATATTTTACAGACATTTTTTGCTGGGAAAATTACTATGCATCATCAAGTAGTTTGTGCCCACTTGCCTTGTAAGTATTTCAGGCTTTGTAGGAATGTCACTTGCTCATTGATGCAATGGGACAAAGTGTTCAGGTGCTGCCTCTTTTCATGAAAGCAGAAATGGAGTGGGCTGGTAGTTCTGCTGGGGACTCAGATCTAATTCAAAAGCACCTGAATAACGAATTGTCATAATGGAAAGAAGGGAGCTTTGATGCAGCCTGCACTTGGTCCTGTGGCCTCATTCTGCCCATTCCTATAGCTCTGCTGAGAAGTTCTCAGTTGTCTCTCTTATACCAACACACCAAGTTAATAATTTGTTCTTTTTCCAGTACTGTTTGTTCAGGCTGGCATTTTCCTACTGATTGTACGTTAACTGAAATGCTTCTGATCTTACAAATATTAATTCTGGGATCACTTTACTCTTAGTAAACACAGAAATACATTTTTTTAACCACACAAAATGTCATAATCATCCCATAATTACTAAAGTATTATGTTCTCTTGAGGAACCCTGACAAGTCCAGTTTGAATGTCTGAAATAGATTAGAAGTCCTATCAGAATAAGACATGACTTCTGTTTTACCAGAGCTGGCTTTCCCCTTTCATGCCTTGCTGCTTGTTTATCCTCCCTGAGCTTCTGCTTCTGAGGAATCTCTAGCTGCCTAACACAAGTTCAGATCCAATTTATTTTTACTTATTTGACAAGTTATCTTCAACCTGGCAAGGTGACCCCAGGCACTTTCCTCCACAGCCTGTTTACAGATTTTTAATAACTGTCACAGTGCCAGGCATTTGCTGCATGGTGATGAACTGCTGGGAATAATTAGCACCAAGGGGAAAACATCAGAAAGTCTCAAATGTAACATTTCTACAAAATGCTACTGCTTTCTAAAGTTCCTGCCAATGGCAGCACTAAACCTATGCGAGTTCCCAGCCCATGGTGTCCATGGCACCTACACAGCAAGTCCCAAAACCCAGGTCTGCAGTTGTCCTCCCTGCAAGGCTGGTGCCAGCAGTGCTGGGAGTTGGAGACCACACATGAGCTCCTTAATGTCCCAGCATCCCACCCGTGGCACCTTTCTGCAGGAAGGATTATCCACTGCTCAGCCCCTGAGGAAGCAGCTTGTGCTGCCTGCAGCACTTACCTGCTCATCTCTCTCCTATCACCCCCTTCCTGCTTGGTTTGCCTCCAGCCCCCATGTCACCCAACCCTAGCTCCTCAGATCTGCACCTCAGTCCCCAGTGCCAGTGATGTGTTAGGCAGCGTGTTCCTCCTGCTGCCTTCATCCCACTGGAAATTGATTTGGCAGTTACTGCCAGAAGCTACAGGTTTAAAATCTTTTCCTGTGAAGTAAAGTCTATTTTCAATTAACACCTTGGCCCCTCGCAGAGCTCATCACCAGTGTCTCGCATCAGGGTTTTTTTGCAGCCTTCCCAGGGGTGCACTCACTGCTTGGGCAGCAGAGGGGTAACACTGGAGGTGCTGGGGAAAGGATCCATGATTCTTGGATCCATGATAGGTCCTGCACTTTGGCCACAATAACCCCAGGCAGCGCTACAGGCTGGGGGAAGAGTGGCTGGAGAGCAGCCCAGCAGAGAGGGACCTGGGATTACTGTTTGGCAACTGGTTGAACATGAGCCAGCAGGGTGCCCAGGTGGCCTGGAAGGCCAATGGCATCCTGGCTTGTATCAGGAATAGTGTGGCCAGCAGGATCAGGGATGTGATTCTCCCCCTAGACACAGCCTTGGTGAGTGCTGTGTCCAGTTCTGGATCCCTCACTGCAAGAAGGTTATTGAGGTGCTGGAGCAGGTCCAGAGGAGAGAAACAAGGCTGGTGAAAGGACTAGAGGGAAAAGTCTTACAGGGCTGAAGGAGCTGGGGTTGTTTAGCCTGGAGAAGAAGAGACTCAGGGGAGACTTTATCACTTTCTTCAACTACCTGAAGAGAGGGTGTAGTCAGGTGGGGCCTGGGCTCTTTTTCCAGGCAACTAGCAACAAGACAAGAGGGCTCCTCCTCAGGCTGCTCCAGGGGAGGTTTAGATTGGGTATTAGGAAGCACTTCCTCATGGAGAGGGTGATTAGACATTGGAATGGACTTCCTAGGGAAGTGGTGGAGGCACTGTCCCTGGATGTGTTCAAGGAAAGGCTGGATGTGGCACTTAGTGCCATGGTCTAGCTGATAAGGTGGTATTGGTCATAGGCTGGACTTGATCTTGGAGGTCTTTTCCAGTCTTGGTGATTCTGTGGTTCTGATTGAGTCCCCACAACTTCCCATGTGCTCTGTGGCTTCCCTGGCACAAGCGAGAGACACAAGTAGCTTTTCCCACCAGCACAGGTGACCTGCTCATCAACATGTACACTTCCTTGTGTTGGCTATTTGCAGGTCAGACAGGTTTCTCCATGCCAGAGCCTCTCTACTGGTGTAAAGAATGGAAATGTTTGTTGCTGAGGCTGAGCAGAGGGGTGAAAACCTCTGAGAGCTGGTGCAGGCAGGTATCTCCCTTAACGTTCAGAAGAAATCACTTCCATGGTGAGAAGAATTTTTTTAAATGAATATTTTTTCAGCAACTGCCCCAGTAGGACTGAAGAACCAGTTTGTACTTTGAAAGCTGCTGAGGAGCAGCCCACTGGCTCCACCCGCTGCCACCTTCAGGGCACACCACGACCAGCAAGACAAGGCTGCACTGCCCAGCTTTCCTGCTAAGAAATGTTTAGCAA